ATATTGGTCTTATTTATGGAATATTTCTACAAAGATCTTTTTCACCATTTAAGTAATAAATATTTTTCTTTTCTTGCTTTTTTGTTGAGTTACAAACTACTTTAGCTACTAAAAAATTTTCTTGGATTTTCTTATATTACTTTAAATAATTTACAGTATTTCCTCAAATATTGCCTACCTTGCCTCTGGGGTAAATCTTGGTCACCGAGGTGATTCCTGGTCAATACTGTTCTCCTTATTTAACTATCTTATTCATTTTTTTAATTTTTTTTGTCATATTTATATCAATAGTGATTCTAATTATCTGAAACACTTTAAACTTTAACTATAAAGTTAACTATGACCATAGTGTTTACCAGTTTTAATTAATAGTAATTAATTCTTACTAATTATTTAAATACTGAATTTCATAATTATTTAATATTAGTCTTTTAAACTATACTAACCTTTTATGGCTATACTTAATTAACAGAAATTCAGCAAACGATTAATATAAACCTTGCTGTTATTACAAACAATGACATTCTGAAACTAGACGGAAAATCGGAGCAAAAGCCAATCAAAAGAAAGAGAAACAAGATAACAATAAAAAAAAGAAAAACATAAATCAAGACAGTAAAAGAACACAAAAAATGAAACATAAATCAAGACACAAATGAGTTGCTAGCGTATTTTGGTAGTACATGTGAATTTTCTGAAGCAGTGGACACATGTCAGTTGTGTTAGAGTGATTAAAAAAAAGAACTAATTAATTGCACAATTTGCAATAGAGGAGTGCAGATATTATGTTGCATATTTTATTTTATAATTGCCGTTGAATAGCCAACCCAATTATGGGTTTACGCCTATCAATGTTCAACTCCATAGCCTTATAATTTTGAATCAAATCCAAAAGATAAGGGAACTCCTGGATCAAGTTTTGAGAGAAATTTGCCTTCATGGAGGCTTTTTTTAGGAAAATAACCTGCATTTGTGTTATGTGGACAGAAAAACCACAAAATCTCCCACTGTTAGCCAGGTGGCAAGGGTACTCTAACTTATGATCCATCTACCGGTGAGGATATTTTACGCCAGCACTGTTGTCAGTGGGAGCCGGCTGTGGAATTCGTATCGACCAGGCATCGCTTGGGATTCGAAACCGGTTCACCTCATTGGAAGGTGAATGCTTTATCCCTCAAGCCAGTGTTTCCCAACCTTTTTATCACAGCGGACCTGTCAACGTTTGATAATTTTACAGCAGCAGGTTGATTGCTTTTATTTTAGATTACTTTGATTTATTAATTTTAATTTAATTGTATTTAAACATGCCTTCAAAATAAAATATAGTTACACCAAAAAATAAATATAAAGGGATTTAACATTTTAACTTACTAGAACATTAAATTAATGAGAACCCTGAGCTTGTTTCTTTGCAATGAGATGGTTCCATCTGGGGATAATCGGAGACAATGATACATTACAAACATTAAAAAATTTATGTCATTACCTTCGGGGGCACCTTTTTTTTAAATAAATAAAATTTTAATGGAACACAGATTTTTTTAATTTGGGGTTTAAACCTAGGAATTTAAATTTAGCTTCAATAAAATTGACGGCCTGGTACCATTTGATCCACTGACCGGGGGTTGGGGAACACAGCCGTAAGCCATCACTGCTTCCAGTAGTTTCATTGTCCTCTGGATTGGGTTCAAAATTAGAAGGCTAATGGGTCGGCTGTTTAACATCGGTTATAAAATGAAATGGGCTTACTTTTTATATACCAAAGTCGCCAATTTTCTACGCTTTTTATAAATATTTAATCCAGCGGTAGCTATGTTTATGATTAAATGTATTACTTCCATAGATAATGCACATAAATTGCACAAAAAATATTGTGTAAAAATTTGCAAATTGTAGTATAGATAAAATTATATTAAACCCCGAAATATTGTTATAAACTCTATAAATATAAGATATCCAACATTGTACCTGATGAAAAAAAACCAGTCTAATTGGTTTAATAAATTGCAGTACTACAGGGTGCGTAGCCAAATCTTTCAACAAAAAATAAGCATACTTTTTAACCACTCAAAAAATATTTTTAAACACTATATACATTAACAAAATGCAAAATAATTTTCAGACTGTAGATGATCATGAGAAAATAACTAGTTCCTGACAAAGAACTCTTTTCTTGATTATATTAGCCATTATAAAATGATCGAGAAACTTTTCGGTTCGATATCAGAGGTCAGAAATTGAGAATATATTGCAAAATGCAGCAGAGTTGCACATGAGAATGTAATAATCTCACTGAACCCCGCTCAGTAGACGCACATACAGACTTGCTAGTATTTTCATCAAACATGTAAAATGATTGGTGCTTTTATACGCTATGGACCAACTGTACGCCAAAATGAATTGTGAAAACATTGAATGGAACAATGTGAAAAACACGCTTTTGCACAATATGTGGCTTAAATCGACATGGTAACGAAAGAATTTCATTCTTGAAAAAGGAAAATTAAGCACTTTTTAAAAACACCCAATGAAAAATTCATCTTTAAGGGCTATTAAATAACGAAAATCGAAAATAAGCACCTTTAAGCACTTTTTAAAAACACTACGCACCAGGTACTAATATAAATAACGAAAAAATATATATATATATATCTATTTGCATTCAAGATGTGAGTGACCAGTAATTACTCCATTCCAGGGATAAGGATAATTTTTGGTCAATGTTAATTATAATTATTTAAGTTACAAGTGCATTAATACTTATTTAGAAAGACATCACAATGTGTTTACTTAATGCCAAAATTTGTAACTCTAACTTCGACAGAATTTGTAAAAATTGACATTTTTTAAAATTTTTTTATCGGGAACTACTCCGGACATTGTAAAACATATTTCACGATACACTTTTTCTTAAATTTATAAAATGACAATAATGTTAAAATATCTCGGATTTTACGCTATCCCTTCTACTAAAATCCTGATTAATGCGTTTTTCGAATGACAGATCAAAATAATTTTTTTACAACACTAATACAAAATTTTTGAGTTTTTTTTACCAAGAGATCTGTATGGAAGCATTCTCGCATTCTTTCTGTTCTATCTTGTTCATTTGACAGTGACAGGGGCTTCTCCCTATGTCAAAATCAGAAGGGTGGAAGAAGAGGCAAATCAAGGGACCGCAACAACCATAAGTCAATGGCTTTTTATTCTTCAATCACACTCAGCCAACAAAAGACAAAAAGGGGAAGGATAAGAGAGACAACTGCCAATATCGGTACTGTACTTTTTGAAGTCTAACTCCTGCTGGCAGTTATTGTGGCTACAAAGTTAAATCACTTTGAAATTCAAAGTTTGAATAAGAGTGCAATCATTTCTTCAATACTCTCTATTTCGAAATGGTTTCACTCATGTGTCCATGCCAGTACACATCCTGAAACTTTCAGTCTGGTTCGTTTGAGCACCATAGACATTTTTCTTACAGTCGAAACACTAGTCACCGTATTCTTTTTCCAAGAGAAGATGTCGAAACTAAAATGTTTCACTCTTGCCGAAAAAGCTAAATAATTTCATGGCACTAAAGTTGATCTTGCTAAATCTTTAGCGATTGCTTATTAAACTTCACAAACAATTTTAAAGATCAAAAACTTGAAAAATATAATAACAAATGCAAATTCTTAAGACATCTTTTTAAGATTTAGAAAAAAATTTAATGAATTGGTTCAAAGAAGCCCAAGCAGCAAAGATTCCAATAAACAGACCCACCCTAAAAGAAAATGTATTTAAAATTGTTGGATTCATTGATTTAAGAACAGGAACAATTTATGTTTCAAATCTATCTGTGGAGAATCCTATAATGAAGATATGCTAACTGTGCAGCAGTAGAAAGTGAAAACTTTACCAAATCTATCAAATGTATGCAATCCAAGTGATAAAATTAACGCGACAAGACGGGACTAGTTTTAAATTTGTGACTCAACAAAAGTTTGAAGGTCAGAGGCGAAAATTGCAACGTAGAAAAATGCACTCGACTATTTTAAACTGCAAAAATGAAGACAGAAGTTAATGCCTCTTGTGATTAGTAGAACAGAGAAACCACAGTGTTTAAAAAATGTCAAAAGTTTACCAATAATTATGCTTAAAAAAAAAACATGGATAATTCAATTCTTATTTGAAGGTTTTCTTCATTAACTTAATAAAAAAAATGCACTTACAAGAGCAAAAATTAATTTTTTCTCTATCAGTGCATTAGATCACTTAGATCTCAAATTGAAAAATGTGGGAATTAAATCTTTTCCCGTAAACTGCACGAGCAAACTTCAACCATTGGATTTAGGCATCATCCAATTAAAAACAACTGGTTATAAAATCACCAATTTTTCTTAATTCCAGTGATCTGCAGATGCTTCTAAAGCTAAGATTAATGTTCTGAAAACTCTGAATTTAATTAAGCAGGATTCTTGATATTGTACGAGGACATTGTCTTTTGAAAGAAGATTGCATGGTTGAAGATCTTCTGGAAGTCGAAGACACACACACATCCCCTATGACACAGATCACTTCACAATTTCCATCAATTACTGATGATGAAGCAGAAATAATAGAGAATGTACCCACAGCTAATCAAGCAATTTAAAACATAAAAAATCAAAAAAAAATTTAATTTGAGAATGCAAGCCAAGAAGCAGATTTGATAAAAATTGTAGTATTGTACGAGTTATCATAGATATTGTATCTAAAAACAAAAAGCAACTAAAGATTACACATTTTTTCTAATGGTTCACCTGGCGAGAGTCAGTTTTCAAAGATATGCTTAGATTTTCCTTGACTTCAATTTTTTATTTTCACCTTTTGTGCCATTTTTCTTTTTTATCTTTAGTTTGGTGGAAAAAGTAAAATCGAGGTTCAACCACATTTCTTAATAAGACATTAGCCACAAAACAACCAAAAATATAAAAAACCTTCACACACATATAAGCATATGACAAAATTGTCAAGCATACCTCAACATCATTGTATTCCTCGATAGAACAGATGTCAGGAACCTCTACTATTGAAAGTGCATCTTCGGAGTGGCTGGCCTCTGGATCTTGATCCATCACAGTAAAACTGAATAAACATCAATGTCACTAAACTTCATTTACAGATAAAATCCATTTCTCAAGAGTTTGTCAAATTTCATAAACACTTCATTAAAATCTATCAATGCACTCAAATGCTTTTAACTAAAAAGAAAGAAAATGTAAAATTAATTTAAAAGGATTATGAAACAAATTTCAGTTATCAAAAATTATACCTTCAAAAAAAAAAAAAAAAAAAAAAAAAAAAAAAAAAAAAAAAAAAAAAANAAAAAAAAAAAAAAAAAAAATCATAGATGGTGGATAGTTATGTAGGCAAATTATTTCCTTCAGTATTTCATTTTCTAATAGAAAGAGTGACAATTTTTTTTAACAAGTACAGTTTAAAGAATTTTAATCTTAAGTTAAAACAAATCTAAAAATGTAGAGTATGTTCATTAGAGAAATCAAGTAGCATACACAACTTTGAATTGTATATAGTTTATTTTTTATATTTTCATTTAAATTTTAAATTTCATATTATTAAAGCATTTAATTTTTAAATAATAACTAGCATCAAATAGTTTATTACTTGCTTTCTGAACCTCAATAAATAGTTAGAAGAACTTAAACCCTTTCGACAGGCAGCTGTTCATTTACTATCATTTAATTTGCTTTTTGCTATTAGTGTTTGTAAAAATATTTTTTAAAAGGTTAAAAGTTACTCATACTATACATGCTTTTGAAATTTATATAGCAATTTTTGATTAACTGAGATGTTTAGAAGAGCGCCTGATCTCAGATGAGAAAATATCTTTGTCAAACGACCACATTTATACAAATTTTCATGAATTTTTTTTAAAAAAAAATATAGGGTGCATAAAAATTAAGCAAGAGGACATTAACAATTTAACCAATACAAATTAAGAGAATAATTTTTTTTTTTAAATCTTATAATTAGAGTTACAAATGCTAAATTTGAATGAATCTAATGCAATAGAAATGGTCAAAAAAGAATAAAATCTTCCCGCACATTCATTTAGGTATTATAAAAGTGGAATGTATGGGTATTTTCACAGTTAACATGGACTCAACAGTGGTTCATATCTAAGAATTCAAATAAGTCACCACTTTTAAAAAGGGAGTAGCTTCAATTCGGATCAAAAGGGTATTTATTTTTTTACTAAAAAATAATTTAAAATCACTTAAAAAATTCATTAATACACCACCCTCTTCCCGAAATAAGAGTAACTTATAAAAATTTAACCAGTTGAGAATAATCCTAACAAAGTAAATATTTGTAATGGCAATCAAAATTAAACCTATAAACACAGATAATTTTATCAGTGTGTAATTATTATTTAAACAGTGAATTACTTATGTTTTAAAATAAAATCTGAAGTGTTTTTAAGGAGAGGCTGCTAATTTGTACAAAAAGGGCAAATTTATATAGATCAAAGGGCAGGAGGCTATCCTTCAAAAATGCTTGAAGATAACAATTTTTTTTTACAGGACCAATTCTCAGAGGATTAACTAAATGAGCTACTTTTTAAGAATCATAATAATAGTAGGCAACTTTAGCAAGAGAAAAAATCATATTATTTACAAGAACTATCTATTTCGAACATTTGTTTTCATTAATCTAATAGTATTGAATAAGTTAATCTAAAACGTAAACGATTTCTATGAATCAAACATGCAACATTATTTATCTTTGAAATTAATATGAGTTTGTCAATGCCAACATCCTAACTAGAGTATAAAACAGTATTTATTACTTTTTTTTTTAAAGCTGAAAAAGAACTTTTCTAACAATTTATCTTGAAATAAATATTAATTTTAAAAAAATTAACATTTATAATTCCTAATAAACAAGAAAATGCTTAAAACTCTGATATACAATAAAGAAGGATCAAAATCTATTCAGAATACATGTAAAAAGCAAAATTTGCTCAAGTAGCTCTATTAAATATGATATTTAGCCAATAAGGGTTTCTCTCTCTCTTTTTTTTCTTCAGTTCATGATCAGAGCTTGAATACAAAATTTGGAGAGAACTCCAATTCCGTATCTATCCCTCCTCTCTACTTCTCAGCGGTATGGGAATGTACTACATTATTTTCATCTTACATAATATATTTAACTTCTGGATTGTTTAAAATATATTAACTTCCACAATGCTACCTTTAAACACTACAAGTCAAGCGCAGTTTTATGTTTTCAAGAAAAGACGGAAATAAACAATAGAATAAGATTTATAATAAGAACATTTATTCCTTAATAAACAATATAAAAGCTATTTATTCAAATACTTTAAAATTCAACTTTAATAAAAAGTAAACATAAATCAAGAAACAAAAAATTTCAAAAAAAAAAATCTTTCTAAACAGGGCAAAGATAAAATATGTATACTTAAAAGTAAAATGCAAAATAAAGTAAATTTCAAATCAATTATATTCAATTTGAAACTGTGAAAAATTAACAAATTGTATTTGACACTTAATGGCATTTGCATAGCATTTTATAATTGAGAAAGGTAGATATGTCATACACCCATAGCAGGCATTTTAAAGTAATATTTTCAAAGTATTATTCCTTTCAAGGGCCATAAGAGAACCTTTTGTTACAGTACCTTTAATAATGTAGGAGGAACTTATTACCACAATATTAGTAGAATTATCACCATAATTAAGCATCCTTCAATGGTATCAAAAGTAGGGAATGTTTTTATGGCCTTTCCCCTCCAAAAAAATTACATATAGCTTAAACTAGTAAATGTAGCAGCATTATTGTAATCTCTAACAATGATTATTGAAAATCTTTACTAATTACTACATAATATTTATCCAATGGTTAACATACATTGATTACTGCATGAATACAACACATTTCTAACAGTCTAGGTGTCATGTAATATGATAAAATAAGTGCAAGATATTTAAATTGAGAAAAAATTATGTATGTCTTAAAAAATTGATCCAGGTTTATTTACCCTACTTTTTAATATGACTTCATTTAACAATTAGTTTAATAACATAACTCCCTAAATACTTATATAACATGTTAATACCTTTTGAGATTAGAATATATATTTTTATTAATGATATTTAAATTCCTGAGTGTAGCAAAGAACTAATCTATACTTTATTTCATTAATAATAACAAAAAATCTTTAAATAATTATTGATACACATAAAACCGAAAGTCTATTGAAGATTACCAGCATTTATTAATAAGAAATGAAATCCATTTTTGAGTGATTTTATAACAATGATGATGTTTAACCAAGCGAAATAAATAGAGTTATCTAAGATGAGACTAACAGTCAAGACTTTAATTTGTAATAAATGTTTCGTTTTTGTTTTAAACTTCATAAATTTCATTTAAAATAAAGCGATTAACATTTACTGTTGTTAGAAAAGGAAAAAAAAAAAATCTTAATCGAAGTAGATGTACTTGTCAAATGTCAATCGAGAAATTGCCTGCAGAATTTAAAAGTGACTATAAAATCCTTTGTTTTAATTAAGAGACGATTCAAATATTATTTATAATTATTTTTGAAAGAAAATATAAACTAAGAATTGAATGTAAACAACAAAAATTTAAGAAATAGTAATTTGATTGCGAAAAGATGTAAGCCGGCACTTACAACAATAAAAATAAAATGTGATTCAACTAAATGTCATTTTCGGTAATCCCAGGCGTAAGAATACAATATTAATTCTTTCATATTCTAAAAATGGGAAACACAAAAGTACAAAATTAATTTTAATTAATAAATCTCGAACTACTTTACTATCACTTCTGCAAGAAGGGTTCCTTTCATTTTTACATTAATCGAGTTGAGAGAGATCGACAACAAGACAGAGGTCGAATTTTCAATGCCAAGGCTCAGCAGCTAAAATGCAATTTTTTCTTTTTTTCATAAAATATCTTCTCTTTCATTTAAAATAGGACTTAATTTAAATATTTAATTAGGTACACTATTTTGTGATTATAAATTCCTGAAATGAATTGATATTTCCTTGATATCTGATGACTGTGCCAAATACCTGTTATTTTATCTGTTACATTGCTCTTTACTTGTTATTTTGTACTCGTGAACCGTCAACTTTTACTATAATTTGAAAGTAGGAATATAACAGCTCACCTTGCTATATTACCGGTATCGATCGTCTGCTGCAATAAATTGAGCATTGTTCCTGTTTCATGCGCAATGTACCTGTACTAAGATTTTGATACCATCGTTATATAAATATCAACAATAATTAAGTTTCAAATATGTTTTAAAAATGTAGAACTTCAAAAATGAAGTTTTTGGTGGTGGAATATTTTAAGAACTGCTTTTAAAATCGATGATTAAAGTAAGAGTTTTTAATATGCGCACCATATTTTGGATGTTAAATAAATTCAACCAAAAAATCATCTATTTTTATTATAGAATATTTATTTAATCAACCGTGACTAATGTACAGTTTATATTTGTATGATTTTTATTGTAGATAATATATCTTACTAATATTAATATTTTTAATATATATGGTTTGTTACCAATTTCCCCTTAATATAAAATACATATGTATGTATGTTAATAACTTTTGTCTAAAGTTGTTTATAAACATGCATATATATTAAAAGGAATTTTAAAAAGGTGTCATCTGATTTTAGAGACGTTTTTTGTGCAAAAGTTCTGGAGTTTTGATTTAAAAGTTACATTGTCTGTGATTATTCAATGCTTCTTTTTCCATTACAATTATTTTGAAGTACTATCGTTAATAAGTGAAAACAAAGTTTTTTTAAGGCTTTTATTAGTGTTAAAATTATTTCGTAGTTTTTCTATGAAGTCCATGTATTTATAATATTAAACATAATAATATTCTATAGTTTTTCTTAAATTAAAATGTTTTGATTGGTAGTTGTCTTTACAATCTATTAACAGTTTTATCAATGAGAGTGTTTAAATGTGTGATTTATGTGCAACAAAATAAAATGTCCTGATATGTAACATAATAAACAAACAAAAATTTATAATTTGAGACATTAGAGTACAGTTATTAGAGTAGTTGAGAGAGTATATTACTAGTGGTATAAGTAACTTAAGTCATCTGTGTTGAAATAGAGTATAAACTGACCTTCAATTTTTCTTTTTTAGTTTTGGAACTGAATATAATGGTTGTTTTTAATTGCCTAAAAATTACTTATTAATATGCATAATAAGCAATATGTATAGGCCATCTTTATGTTTTATATTTTTTATTAATGTATTTTTATATATATATATGTGCCAATTGGCTGCATAGTATAATGTTAACATTGTTTATTAGATGTTTTTGGAAGACATTTACACAAGGCATTGTTGTCATGGTGAAATATGCACAACATATTTCCTAACATTTAAAAACAAAATTAATTTATTTAATACTTTTTCAATAACCATTATTTGTATTAACAAGACAAATATAAAAATGATGTCATTTTCAATAATTTATTTTAATAATTTATTTTAATAATTTCTATAATGTAATTTAATACATTTCATTAATTAATTATTTTATGCATTAGTAAATTTATATTCTGAACTGCATAAATTTTTTTTTACCTTTACAGCTTGATTTCATGATTTTCACAATGCTTGGAGTATATCCTTTATTTAAGATGCTTAAACTGTTGGAAGTTTAGATTTTTTGTCAGTAGCTTGAAACCAGAAAAGAATTAAAATGATTGAAGGTAAAAAATAAGTTGTTTTTTATTTTTCATAAAATTGATGTTTTATTTAAATAATTTAAGTATAAAGTATTTTAATTTTAAAACTAATTCTCTTTCTTCTTTTATATAAATGTTTGTATGAAACATTTAAAATAAGGTTATTTAATGCTCTATCTTGAATAAATAGTTACTAAAATATTATTTTTGTTGATGGTTCTATTTTTTTTCAATTATTTAATTTTTTTATACATAAATTTATCATTAATCTAGATTTTCTGGGGATAAGTTGAATTTTTAATTTATGTAAGATCTTTTTTATTGTTCACATATATTATCACTGTTTCTGATTCCTCAAGCTCCCTTTGCTTTTGTAACGTAAGCTATTCTAAATTGGATTTGTTGGAGACCATCCAATTACTCCAACTTAAATTTTGAGCTTATTCTACTAGGATTAATTGATAGTGGAGCAATAGCTATTGTATAATCATAATATAATATATCATCAAAAGTAATGTATAGAGCCAAAGTAATAATTTATTAGATTAACTTACAAGTAATGTACAGAGACGGGCAATGATTTCAGTATTAAGAGTACCATCACTAGTGACAAAACACGGAATGATGAGGAGATAACAGAAATACTAAAGGATCAATCTGGTTACAACAAAAAGGAATTGTGAATAATTAAGTGTATATAATGACCATATCACACCTCATTTTTTGAGAGAGTTATTCTTAGTTAATTTAAAAAATAAAAATAGAATCTGCTCTTTAGTGGGGTAATTGAAGTTGTTTATTTGCCCCCATCCTATAATCAATTGGTAAATCTGAAAAGATGAGAAAGATCAGAACTAAATATAATCATTGCTGCATTGAAGGAAAAAAAAAGGGTGGTATAATCAGAAATCTAGATGCAACCAACTGAAGACAGCAATTAAAAGGCAAAAGATTTTCAAATGAATACAAATTGTAGTGTACTAGAAAAGTCATTAATTTATTCAATAGCAAATCTAGAACGGGAAATTATTCCCAAAAATCTAGATAAATCATTGAAGTGCAGCAGTGAATGATTTTAGAAGAAAATACAAATCAGTGATTAATGCTCTAGCAATAGTAAGAAATGGAAGTTCATTGAGTGTTCTCATTTTGTAACTATCTTTCATGTCCCTGAAGTTGAGATTTAGGTGTGCACTTTATTATTACTATGCTGTTTTGTTTGTTATTTTTCTGATATATTAATTCTATTATTATGGTATTAATACGAAGTTTAATGAAATTTTAAAAATGTATTAATTAACTCTATTTATTTTATAGAATAAAAAGCTTTATAGCAATTTTTATCATAAATGTTCATGTTATGCATTGGCTTTTCATAGCTTATTATTATTAATAATAAAAACAGTAGATACCATAAAATATTTTTCATGAGAACACTTANAGGTGTGCACTTTATTATTACTATGCTGTTTTGTTTGTTATTTTTCTGATATATTAATTCTATTATTATGGTATTAATACGAAGTTTAATGAAATTTTAAAAATGTATTAATTAACTCTATTTATTTTATAGAATAAAAAGCTTTATAGCAATTTTTATCATAAATGTTCATGTTATACGTTGACTTTTCATAACTTATTATTTATAATAATAAAAATAGTAGATGACATAAAATATTTTTCTTTAGAACACTTATCACTTAATATATCAATGAGTTCGATTTCTATAAAAATATTACTAATATTTGTGAATCAATCTTGTAATTATTTTTTATTTAATATTGCAAGTTTGTAATGCATAATTTAATTATTTTTATAGCATAATTAAGCATTTGTGATTAAATAATCTAACTTTATTTTTAAAAAAAATTATGCATTTCGAATTTGGTCAGCTGTATAGTATATAATCTATTTAATCCTCATAATTAATAATCCTCATAATAATAATCCCCATAATAATCCTCATCATCTTAATAATCATCTTATTAAAATCATTTCACTAGTTATTGAGATGTTCATGTCACAAATTTGCAGCAAAGAAGTATATGGGTGGCATCTGGTCTTCTTAATGCTATACATTACAATCATTGTTAAATTCTATGTCATTTCATTGATAGGTCATAAACTTATTTAGATGAAATAATTTAATTTTATGCTTTTACTTTGGCTGTTAATTTATTTATATCTAAATTTATTATTGAATTTTTGATAAAACAAGGTATAGATTATTGAATTTTCAGTTTTTTTCAAAAACATTCTACATTGTAAAATTATATGCAATTATTGTTTAGTCATTTTTTTTTTATATAGTATATACACATGTATATTTTTATTTTTCAGTTTTAAATCTGTCTGCTTTAGTTTTGAGAGATTGCACCAAGCGTCTATTTCAAGCATTTGTTTTAATTTTGTTTTTTGGCTCAATCTTCATCTTGCTTGGAAAACAACTATATAAAGGCGTTCTTACTCAAAAGTGTGTTATTTTGCCACCACCAAACATATCAGATGCAGAATATGCAGCATTTATAATTAACTCAAGTAAAATTTAATTTCTTTATTGCTTTTTACTTGTAACATATTAATACATTTTTTGTATTTTATTAAATGTAGAAAATTTTTGGTTTTAGTTAAGAATTATATTTTCGCATACTTTTCTTTAATATTTTTTCCATAAGTACTGAAATCTAACATATAATGAAATATTATTATTGTTTTTATGTATTACATTGTCTTTCTACTTTTATTTATTTGTGTACTCCCTGATGTATCAATATTGCTTCACATACCTTGTCTCTTTGTATATATACTAGGAAGCTCTGCTCATCAACACCCATGAAAGCGTAACTTTTATTGTTTCCCCTCCACCCCCTTAAAAATCAATATTTTCCACAAAAACAAAAAACATATTTTTTGAATTATATAGTTATAATAATTGTATATGAGAATATATTTTAACTATGTTATTTAGAAATAATTGAACCATCACCTGAATGTGAAAAGTATGTAAAGGAACTTATTTGAAAAAAGAAATTTAAACTTAGGAATACAGAATGTTTATTTCAATTAGAAGAATATTTAGCACAATAAGAAGAAATAAATGAGAGAGATTTTAATTGCTATCAAAGCATATATTGTTATAACAGATCAAGTGAAAATGGTTTTAACCTTTCTTGGATTAAATTTTTTATATTTTTTAAAGTTTTAATATAAATGTTAAGACTTATAATTAGCAACTGCTAACCTCTCTCTCTTTTGATGTTTGTCATAAACTCAAATAAGAGTTAATAAAACAACAATCTATCAAGATGAATAAATTTTTCTTCAATGAAGAACAGATAGTCATTATTTAAAATAAGATTAATTTATAAAAAAAAGCACTTATAACTTTCAAACGAATTGGAATTTTGAAAAAATAATTGTATTAAAAATCATTAATAAAATTAGTCTGTTCAGCATGTTTAATTTCTACTCTGTCAGTGCAGCCTGCATGGTGTTTTTTTACTACAAATTTGACAACAAGTTTAATTTATTCTCGAACCAGTTATGAATTTTTGTTTATTCCTTCGTGCAGTATATTTTCATTACTTCCCTTTATAATTTCAAGTTTCTAAATCTTGTTGGCCCCACAAAGAGCTGATTGTAAGACACAGTTCCCAGTAGATCACCAAAATCAAGCATCAATTAAGATGGTCAGTGAGTGGGTGGATGAACACTTTGATCAGTCTGTGAGGGGACCAAGGATGTATGGTATCGATCGTCATTAAACTGTTATCGTAAAGTGCTCAACTTTGTGGGCGGGTCAATAGGCTACCAAAGCGGAGGAGTTTTAATGAGCTAGAAAATCATTTATTATTATTTTGGTTTCTCTCTTTTTTTAAAAAAATAATTTCTTAACACTCGTTAACATGGAAGCTTCTTTTGTAATTCCTGTAAAAAATGAAAATGGAAGATGTAAATAAAATGCAAACCAATATATAAACACATCCTCAATTTATTAGTGAATCTATTATAAATTTTCATTTCTGAAAATTGCTAGTAATGTTTTGTCTATTTTTTTACTTTTTTTCTTAACTGAACTCATTTTATTTTAATAGCTAACTGGCTGGAGCATAAAAATGGATATTACTTATGCGGTAACAGTACAGGATCACGGTAAAAATTTGTTTCAATTTCAGTCTATTCTAATTTTTTAAAATATATGTTTAGTAAAATTATTTTCTTTTTCAGACATTGTCCTGAAAATTATACTTGCTTGCGAGGAGCTGATGTCAACACATATATATCTAATTTTAATTTCTATGGCTCTTCAATGGTTACTATTTCTCAGCTTATGACTTTACACTTTTGGCAAGGACTTTATCAAAGGGTAAAAAATTTAACCAGCACAATTTTCTTATATGTAATATTTATTACAAAAGCAAGACTTTTTATTGACTTTTTTAATCATGTCGTATACATTCATGCTAAATACATATACTGACATTCTTTTTTTTTTTTAATAACGCTTAAAATTTACAAAGTATAAAATTTGTTTTTCAAATTGGAGCTTTTACTTTGCTTAGTTATTGATTCAGAATCTGAAAATTATTTTGAAAGAAACATATTTACTGATGGAATCGTAAAGAATGAGTAATTTAAAAATTTTATTGTCAGTTTACTTGAAAAGCAATCAGAATCAGGAGGTTGTGGTAAAATGTCTACTATTTCTATCTTCCATTTGTGTCAGCTTTAGATTTAAAAATGATCTGTTTGCAAACTGAAATCATGTGTGTGTTTCTAATCTTTTAATGGTTCACTTTGAATTTTTCTGAAATCTGAATTTTGTGCTTTTATTCAATATATGCCAGTTCCTTTTCTTACTATTGATTTAGAAATAGCAATTTTACAAAATGAATTTAAAGACTTTTTTTTAAGCTTCACTATGTTTAAAACTTTTTTTTCCAAATTATTTCAATGAACTACCATTTTCTAAGTTTTTTTCTATTTATTTAACAGATTTACTCCCTTTTTACTTTTAATTGTTATTATAGTTTTGTACTTTGCCTTTACGTATTCTTCTGCATAGTCATTACTCCTGTACAAATCGTAATCAGACAGAACTAAGATTTTATTTCTTTAATTTTAGATGCTGTTAACTGCTGGAACACTTCATGTTAGTTATTTCGTCTTAGCCTTCTACTCATTCCTATACACAAGTGGGCTTATTTTGGCCATCATAACTAGATCATATAAAAATGTGCTAAATAATTTTGAAATCATTGAAAAAAAGTCTCGATTGGTGAGTTCCTTTTAATTTTCTTTTCTAAATGCCTAATATTATTTAATTGAAAAGTATAATGTGAAAATATTCTTAGAAATCTTTTATTTAAAAATAAATGCTTAAAGAAAGGTTGATTTAGGCATTGTTTTACTGATTTCAGACCAGGGCTTTCATCAATTAATAAGCCTCCTTTACTATTGAAAAAAAAATTATATTTTATTTATAACTTTATAATTTTTTTTTTATTTCATCTAATGTTTAGAATTTTGAAAATGAGATAAAGAAATATTAAGTTAATATTATTTTAAAATAATATTGGGAAAATTATAATACATTAAAACAGTAATACAGTACAGAACCATTTATCCGGGACCCAGAAAACCGGGAAAAATTTCGCTTCGTTTTCCCGCCATTTTGAACTGAAAGGATGGAGAAAAAATGCGGAAGTGTTACTCATTTTTGAAGTTTAGTAGGAAAAAGGGTGGGTGGGGGGAGTCATATGTCAAGAGAAAACTTGATTATTTCTTCTGTAACCTTGAAGTTCTTTAGGACGGGAAGGGGCCGGAAAAGGGGAAACTTTTTACTTTCATCCCTGCATTCCCAAGAATTTGTGGTTTTCAGATAAGCTACCGTCAATCAAAAAGGGAGTGGCATGCTGTTTTCGTTTTCTCTTTGATTTATGTGGGGGGCGGGGAACAAGCATTGCACACGAATATCGTTGAATAGAAGGTGAAAGAGAAATAAAAAGAAAAATATATCCCTATACATTACTAAGTAAAGAAAAAAAAATCTGAAATGGGAGTACAAATTGNGACGTCCCAATTGTAAACGAAATGACAGATTCTGAAATTATTCAGATGGTGTTGAACCCAGGCGCAGAACAAAACGAAAGTGACGACGAAGATGAAGCTGAACAAGTATCTGCCATATCTAATGAACGATGTATCCAACTAACTAAAGAACTAATAGCTGGAATGGAACAGAAATCATTTATTGAGGAAACTCATGTAATGGCTGTTTATAAAATCCAACAGTTGTTTCTCAATCAAAAACCAAAGTCTCGTCAGCTAAAAGTTGATGAAATGTTTAAAAAATAAATATATGTGAATTTTTTAATTTTTAAACTTACTTTTCTTGTCAAAACTTTTAAATGTTATTAAAATGTTATTTTTCTATTCTTGTAAATGTTATTTTTCTATTTTTGTTAATTGAAGAGAACTTTTCTTTTCTTAAAATGTTTTACTTTGTTTTCATTGTAATTTGGGTTCGATAAAACATCGATAAACTACGTTTTTTTGCCGATCCAGAAAACCGGGAAATTCAGACATCCGGGATAGCGATGGTCCCGAGCATCCCGGATAATTGGTTCTCTACTGTATAAGCTTGATTATCATTTCACTCTAACATTATAAGGCTAAACTCATTGAGTATAAGCATTAAGTCTCGAAGATAAGAAGAAAAAGGAAAGAATTGGATTTGAAATTTTGTTCATTCGAAAGACTTGCTATATGGGCTATCAGAATTTATCATTTTGTTCATTGTATTCATTGTTCAGTGTATTGAGTTCAAAATTATTAAATTGATTTATCTTTGCTTTAAATTTTTAAAATTTCACCATATTTTCTTAATGCCCAAATTTATTTTGTATATGATATCAATAATATGATAATGAATGTTTAGTAATTAATAGATAAAAAGTAGGTAACTGTGTTTTAACTGATATAAATGGTTATTTTTTTCTGGTTAGTTCATTAGGTATTACTCCACTTAAAATTGTGCATTTTAGTCTAAAATCTGATTTGAATTGAATGAAACAAAATTTTTGAAGGTCTGACTGGTCTGAGTAAATTAAAAAAAAATAATAATAATAAATACAGGTAATGAAAGAAAGAATAAAAATAAGAAGAGGCTTATATGGTCTTCTCAGAATGCACTTTTTTTGGATGCATTATATATGTTAAAACTACAAATACTTTGTAACAAATTCTTTCTGTTATTTCTGATCAAAATATCCAAGAAACAGTCTAATTCAACTCCTGCAAGCATATCAACGCTAAAAACCTGCATCTGAGAAACTGCTTGCAAGTTCAATTGTGATTTTTGTTTTTAGGAGATTGCCACACTTCAAGGAGAGATAAAAAAAAAAGAGACTGGAATTTGAGCCTGAATATTATTATGAAACTTTAGTTCTTAAAAATGAATTCCAAGTAAACTGACAAAGAAATTGTATTTGTTGGTTTTTAAGCAAACAAAAAAAATGTGAATAAAGGACAAATGAAAAAATGATTGGTAGAGAAGTTAAAAGGCTAATTCCTTTACCTCTTGTTTTGTTTCTTTATTTCTGTACTATAATTTAGTGTTTAAACACTGAAAAAGTTCTTGTTTATTAAACTGTAACTGCAGTATATCAAATTCGGTAATCTTATACTTCTTATTTAATACTTCTTAACTTCTTAATAATACTTCTTAAGAATTATACAGTGGCACAGAATGATGTTCTCAGTATCGAGTGCTCTTTAATATTTGCTATCATTTTTATTTTTATTTGAAAAAGTTTTGAAATTATCATCATATCCAATTTTATTTAACATAATTTATTTTTCATTTAGGTGATATCTTAATTCAGGCATAAGAGTATTTAAGTATTACTAATTATAAGATCTAATCTGTAGACTTGGAAAAGTCAATAAAAATTGTAAACTGTAGTTTGAAGGAAAGGTATTTAAAAATGAAAGTGCTGATTTTTACTAGAACAAAAAAAAAAGCTTTAATATAATAAAAAAAATTGAACTAACAGTAAAAATTATTGGTTTAATAGAAAAGTTCATAATTTTTAAAATTTCTCATTAAAAGTCCTATACATTATTTCAATTATAGAATATGCAAAGGGTTCATTAAAATTTTAGAGAAAAAAATTTTTTTTTAGTTCTTATTCTTTTATTTTTGATAAAAATTTTTTAGTTTTGCAAATTTAAAATGAGGAAATAAAAAAAGTAGAAATTTTAGTTTAAGAGTCTAAGCCTTCATTTTAAATCTTTAAATGTAAAGAATTTTTGATAAGTAGTTAATTTTATATTTAACTGCATACTTTTAGGAACTAAAATCTTTTTTGGCATACCATGTATTATGATGATTGAAATATGTTATTATTTTTTAAAAAATTAGTACTCACTCAAAAATAAAATTTGTAAGTAATGTTATTGTGAATTCATTTTAATAACTTTGTTGCCTAAATTTTATACAGTAAAACCTCGCTACAACAATATTTTGCGGACCAAATAAGAATATTGTTGTAGAGGGATATATTGTTATATCGAGGGCCCACATAATTCTGGGACGCAATGAGATTTTTTGAAATTTAATGTTATATATTCATTAACTATAAATATATTTATATATTATCGAAAAAATTAATTTGCAAAGTGTTTATTACGGTTAAGCATTAAAAACAATGGATATAAATACAGAACATAAGATTGTAAACTTACCTTAAAAAAACATTTTTATTGAAAAAAATCAGATATTTTTGTTTGTTTATTCATTTTTCTGACTGTTAAGTCAACCAACAAAGTATGCATAGAGTCCAATGCCCGAAAATGATTTTCATTTGTANCGTTCTCTGGTTTATACTTTTGAAGAATATCTGTCATCTTCTCTTGCTTCCATTCATTTGCTTCGTTAATCGGAGCAGATTTTTTCTCTCCGTGAACTTCCTGGAAAGTTATTCCATGTCGATCCCGAAAACGCATTAGCCAACCATTACTAGCTTTAAAAGTTTCGTTCCCTAGCATTACTGCGAATTTACGTGCTTGTGTGCATAACAAGGGCCCATTTATCGGGATATTTGTTGCTCTCATCTCTTGAAACCATTTTAAGACGGCAGCATCAATGTTTTCATTAGTTGCGACTTTTAGTCGTTTACGCTTTGGATTAATTAAATTTGAACTTACAGTATCTTCGATCTGTTTTCTTTTCTTTAGAAACGTTGCAACTGTAGATTGAGATAATCCGTATTTTCTAGCTGCATCAATCTGTTTCATTCCATCATCAATATCTTTAATAATGTTAAGTTTATCTTGAAATGAAAGTTGCTTTCTCCCTGCCATCTTATGCTAAATTACACTAGTAAAAAATATCCAATACACTGAGGACTCACCAAGCTGAAAATGTTAGCAGCACTAAATGCGAAAAGCTCTGATTGTAGAATTTGCGCTAGCTCATGAAAACACCAGGTGTAGTTTAAATCAGGGATTAAGTGACAGTGATGAACGATGACCAATGGTCAGTATACATTTTTTTCTCCTCCTCAATTTCAATAAACGTGCTCCACCCACCTTCTACAGAAACAGTACCTTCTCAGGGTAGCAGGTGTTACTGTGATGTGTGTGGTCATTTATGACTCATGATGTTACAATGGTGATTTCTTAAGAACTGAGGGAGGCAATTCTAAAACATGAAGCTCTTAGGGTGGTCTAAGTACCTCAACAGTGGGGGAATGAAATTTGAATACAAAAGCCATTCTCTGATGTGAAACGAAATAACAGTGGGGTGAAAGATCATAACCAGCAGTGACCCTTTTATCAGAAAAGATGAAAAAAATGGTAAAAGATGACAAAAAGGCATTTTACATTACTTGAAAACCAAAAAAAAAAGAAAGAAAATAATGTTGAAATTTTAAAAAAAATCGTTTTACAGAGGTTTACTGCTTCAGAGAATATCGTTATATTGAGAGGAAGATAACATTAATCCATATGCAAGTTCGGCGGGACCACGGAACATTATCGTAATAGAGGGAGTTATTGTTGTATCGGATATCGTAGTAGCGAGAGTTCACTGTATCAGTAAATTTTTGTTGTTGTTTGCCAGCGTTTTATAAACTATAAACTTCCACAGTAGTTCTATTTTTCTATTTTAAAATTTCAGCATTGTAGAAAAATATTCTTGTTTATTTCAGGTAAAAGGTAATATTCCTTCATCAGATTCACAAAAAGGCATTGTAAGAAGTCCCTCTTGCAAATCCTATGAGTTATTTTCTAGTCAAATTATAAGTTCAGACAGAGTTGAAAGACAGGCTGCTGAAATAATTGAATCTTCCTCTCGAACACCCGAGAGAAGCTTTGAAGTAAGAATGAATTATTTTATCTTTAAATATATTAAGATATACAATATTCTAAAATCCCACTCTTGTGAAAATAAATTGAGCCTAAATGATTGTTATTATGAAGAAAGAGTTATTGAGTCTGCTCAGCCAAATTTCTTCAACTTTTGAGAGAAGTTTATAATTTAACGGTTATGGGTTTTTAATCGATGTTCTTATTCTGTATTTAATAAGAATTCTTTTACATATATTTTAGCTATTTCTTTCAAGAAAATTAAACTATAATAAAAAAGTTAAAAGTCTTAAAGAATAATAAAATACAATTCATGATTTTAAAAAAAAGGTTACATTTTTGCAGAATGTGGTTTGTGAATGTGGATTACCTTAAATGCACCTATACCTTACATAAATTTTTATTTTGATGAAAAAGTGACAAAAACTATTGTTGGTGCAGCAATATTTTTCATTAAAATGAAAAGTTTGTTTTCAAAACATTTAAATTCTGCACAAAATTATTTATCTATTACAGAAAGAGAAGGCTAGAAAATCTCCACTCTTCTCTTAAGATAAAATCCTACTAAACTTCTTAGTTTTTTTTTCAAAAGTTGTCATCAAAACAGCTTGGAATGAGCTCCAAAAGGTCAGCATTGGGGAACTGACCCATTATAAATGTTATGTTTTATCTTTTAAGTGTTTATCTTTATAAAAATTATCATTTTTAGGTCCTATTATAATTAGCTTTTCACAGTTTTATTTTCAATGACATTATTAGAGTTTTGTCAAGCAGAATAAAATCTCAATTCAGAATTTCTATAGTTTAAAATATTTTGAATATTTTCTAACCTACTTTAGTACAGTTCTAAGTAGAAATTTTAGTACATTATAATCTCTACCTAGTTTTGCTTTTTATCATAGTATATATTTTTACAAATAGTAATATAAAAAAAATTATTGGTGTAGAAATTCACTGTATACATAAGTAATTTTTAGGATTTTTTTTGTTTGCGAAGTCAATATATATAGTTTAACATTCATTTTAAATTAACTTTTTTTCCCCTCAGTCTGACAGTGGGTTGAAGGATCATATAGCTGATACTAAACATAAGAGAGAAGCTGTTAGAAATCAATTGGCTAAAGAAAAAACAAATGGTAACTTGTAACCTGTATTATTAGTTGTCTTAACTTTGACTTTGGTTTTTATTTTTTAATTTCAAAGGAAATTTTATTGCAGATAATATTTTTTTTAATTATAATTTTTTGTTCATCATTGAAATAAGAAAGTAATTTCTTCCTTAGACAATATAATTTTAGCATTAAATAATAATAATAATAAATGTACTGATTTTATTTTGTTTTATCTTATGACAATAAATAACATTTCATAATTAGTGATAAGTAAGTTTTTAAAAGTGCTCATTATTTTATAAATTTTTAGATAGCTATTTTATAAATAATAATTTTTTAAGCAGACATAATATATTTTCATGTTATTATATGTTGTTATTATATAGATATGAGTGTAAAATTGAAAAAACTATTTTGTATTATGCCAATGCATAATATTTGAATAACTGATAATGAAAATTTTTAAAAATGTGTAATGTGTTTATCTTATAAACTTTAAACTTTTTTTAAACATAAACATACCTCCGTTGATATTTTTTTTCATTTTAAATCAAAATTATGTTTGGTGTCATTTATTATTTCGTAGAACAATCAATAACACATGCAATCAGGGATAATATTTCGTGTACTATCGTTTCTTGTCAGAACTATGTTAAATCGAAATATCTTTTTTTGACACTGTTTAAAATTATATGTAGTGAACCATTTTTTGTAAAATTTTATGTGCGATTTTACATTTGAAGTAGTACTGTAATTCTTGTTCTATTTTGAACAGATGTTAATGAACATGCACCAAAAGGATCAAAACCTACTGTCAGACAGTATTTACGAGAGTTTGTGACTCATCCAGTCATGGAAAGCTTGTTCTTATTATCCATTGCTCTTTATCTATTTATTGTTGTTAATGAATATTCATTTGTGAAGCTTATTAATAAGGAGATGGCCCGATTTTCTTATTATGTAAGTAAATACTTTCCTGAGTTTTCTGAACCTACTTTACTGAAATGAAACAAAAATCTGAGTTTTGTTTATTATATTTGTTTTATTGATTTTAATCTTTCTCTCCCACCATTCTGTTCACCAAAGAGTCTAACTCTGGTTATGAAGCTCATAAATTTCCCTATCATGATTATTTTGCAAACTTAGAATGACTTTTGATCCAATCATCGGATTATTGTGTACTAGAACTTCCTCTTAATGGTTTGAGGGTTTAATCTTAAATATGCTTATTAGTTAGTGGTGGCGATATTTTAAGTTATGAAATCGAACATTTGTTTTTTCACTGAATAAATATTCCTTTTTTTCATGGATTTTGATTCCTGAGTCTCAAAATAATTCGTAATCTGGAAAATATGGTCCCAAAAGTTTGGTCAGGAAGGCAGTCAAAAGTTCGAACTTCTTAATTTTAATTTTTGCATATTTTGCTATATCCCAGGAACCTTTATAGAGAAGAGAAAATATTGTGAAAATGATTATAAAATTTGTTTATCCAAATATAATTGTTGTAAAAAAATTTTTTTTTGCAATTAATTTTTTTATAATTAAAAATTGAAAAATATTTTATTTTGTAAGCCGTGGAAATTTTTACATGAATTTAAAGTAAAATTTATGATCTTTTTTATAATTTAGAAACTGGTGGAGAGATTTTGTTTAAATTAACTACTCTTATAAAAGAACATTTTAGCTTTATTAGTAATAGAAATTTCAAAAACTTGCTGATTATTTAAGGCCATAGAGTACAAAATATGGGGATAGATCTGAAAATTTTAACTATTTTGTCTTAAACTATATTTTTAATTTTAAATAATTTTATTACCTAATTTTATCATTTCACCGATCAAAAGATTTAATGATATGATTTCTTTAAACTATTTATTTATATATCTTATTATCTTTGTCTTATTACTGTGAATAATTATTGCATGTTTACTAATCTAAACTTTAAAAGTATATTGCTCTATAATTCAAAATTATTTAAAACTTTTTTAATACTTTTTTTAGAGTTTTGCTGGGATAACATTGTTTGAAGTTCTGATAAAGATCAATGCATATACATTACAAGAATATCTATCCAGCAAATGGAATGCGTTTGATTGTGCAGTTCTGATAATTGGTGGGACTGAATTGTTCCTACTTGATGTTGCAACTCCTATATTGTTTACACTTCGAATTTTTAAACTGGTATATAAAACTTCATAATTTATTTTATTGCATTTTTGAAAATACAAAATGAACTGGAAGGGAAGCAAAAGTTTTTTGATATCAAAATTTCAGGTCGTTGGAAATCAATTGCAGTATAGTCTCGATATTTCAAAGTTGAAGGGACGCTAAACATTTTTCTGAGATAGCTAGTTTTCGAGGTAACAAGTACAAAAATATATTCTAAAATATTACTCTAAAAAGTAGAGTCATGAAACATAAGAATAACTACTATTAAATATGTATGTAATGATAGTTGACTATAAGTCTATATTCAACCATGATAATTTAATTTTTAAAATTAAAACTAAAATAATTATGTCTTAAATGGAAAAGAATTGGCTTACAATAAACTTACTTTGTGATTTTTCCAAGAAAATTCGTTTTCTAATTCGAAAGAAAAATTCAAAATAGCTAAGTTTTGAGAAGAAACTTCTCGACATAGGAATTCAAATAAACATTAGGTGGATAAATAATTTCAAGGTGAAAAATATTTTTTTGACGTAGAAAGGTTTTTGAGATATCGAGAGTGTATTGTATTTTAATCTTATATTGAATTTTAATTCTTTAAACAATTTAGTTGAAATAATTGTACAGATGTTTTAAATGTTGTCTAACATGTATTTATATACAGCGAAAATGTGAATTTCTCTCTTAATGTGATTTAACATTTTATTGAAAGTCTGTATCACCCAGTTCTGTAATCTCATTTTTAATTCATCCCATTACCATACATTGAAACATTATTATCCACAGTGTCTACTTTTTCATAATTCTCATTTTTCTTAAATTCATTAAATTCGCAAGCTCTTTCCAATTTTATGGCAGATATTTTTTAGCTAAACACACATATCTTACTTGTTTAGTTCTTAAGGAATGAATTGGTATTTCAGGCAACATTTATTTCTAATAAGTAAATTCTTTCACAAAGTTCCAACAAAGAATTCATAAAACCATTCAAGAAAAGTCTTGAAGAATGGAGTTCAATGAAGCATTTTAAATATTCAGAAATTGGGAATATATTTTTTTTTTTGTGAAATTAAAGGTTGCTAATAAATATATTTGGCTGAAAGAGGTTTTTCTCTATTATCTGCATAGGAAATGCATAAGGGATTTTTATTTTTTTAAATCAAAATATTCTTGTAATCAAAGTTTGCGATATCAAGTTTTTACTATTCTTGATATGATGCTTGGACATGATATATCTAGCCATTAAAATATCTAAGGTTTATTACAGGATTTTTATTATTTGAGTACCTTTGTTTCAAAGCATTGTCTCTGTTTGATGCAGCCTATATTATTACCTATGTTCTACCATTCACTGTTTTAAAACCATTTAGTAATTGACAATTTTAATACAATTTAGCTTTCTTAAAACATCTTTATAACTAATCTTATAGCCTTAAAATTACAGGTTTAAGTAATTGTTAAAATTCATAATGTGTTTGAAGCAATTAGTCATTTAGGAGACATTTATTAATTATAATTTAGTTTTCTAGTTATAATCTAGATATGTTATTCTATGCTTGCACAGTCATGCAGTACATCAAATGTTTGATTCAGTACATAAATGTATATCTATCATCCTAAGTTTGATAATATAAAGGAATTTTAAAACATTTAATAATATACACTATTAATAATACAATAAACAATACAAGTTATTCTTTACTATAGAACACATAAAGTGTCCGTGCAAAGAAAATTAGAGTTTTAGCAATTTATTTGCGCAATGTTTTTAAACTTCATTAAGTAATTGTATATATATAACGATATTTTAAAATTTTAATCACTTGAAGACATTTATTTGGCTTTGTTATATTTGACTGATAATATTTATAAAACTAAAGTAAAATTTTTTGTGCTTGTGCTATAATTAAATTTAATTATATAAGATTGTATTGTGTAATATAACATTAAATGCAAGAGTTAGCAGTTATACTAGGGTTTTTACCCTGTAAAGAATGTTAATTTCTGATTATTGTATGAATTGTAAGAAGATCTATAGTGATTTAGGTTTGTGACATATTATAGTTGTGCCCTGCATTTATTATATGTGTCATAATTCTTATTAACTGTGTTCTAGAGCAGTAATAATTCTTATTCTAGAGCAGTAATAATAATAAAAGTGTAGCAATGTAAAATTTTTTTCAATGTTTTTTTATGACAAATATTAAAGCATGAAATAAAAATAAAACTTGCATTTTTGCAGGTCAAATTAATGGTATGCCACAGTACACTCTGTTATATGAAAAATATCATGAGAACATGCTTATTTCTTTTCCGACATCCTGTTTCAATTCTTTTCATATTTATGACAATTTGTATAGTGACTGGAATGCAGCTATATGGATATGAATATTTCTATAGCAAAGACAGGTATTAGTTTATGACTTTTTTAAACACTAATAAACTTTTCTTCCTGTTAGGAATTCACTTTACATACAAGCTATGTAATTGGGTAAAGACTGAAATATTTTTTGCACCATTTTTTTTATATTCAAAAGTATTAGTTTATTTTTGCTTAACACGTAATAAATATAATAAGTCAAGCGTCAAGCAATATATAATAATAGATTAATATGCTTTGGTCATATCAAAGCTCAAGCGTTCAAAAACAGTTTTCCTTTTTCTGGACCTTTCTATTTCAAATTTGGAAAATTGGTGCCTGTTTTTGCATGCTTGAAACATGTCTACTGTTACTTCCAATTTGAATAATTTTGAAGTGAGTGAAGTTTTTAATCAAATACTATCTTACTGCTTCTTGGGATTATTTATTTCATTAAATATATTATTACTCAATAATTTCATTACTTATTGATAACTTTTATACATTATGTAAAAAAAGTGATTTTCCTTACTCAAGTGATAAAAGTTTGAATTATTAGTTTTTATTGTAGGTATGAATATTTTAATAATCAATAGGTATGTCAATGGGTATGAATATTTTAATAATGTCCTTTTAATAATTTTAGTAATGTCCTGGTATTCTCTAGAAAGGAATCTTCATATCTAATAAACTATTCCTCTAGATTTTCCAAAAAAAAATTAAATAAATAAAAAGAAATAAAAAAAAAAACTTGCACAGAAGAAAAAGCTAAGATTTAAAAAATTTGCACACAAATGTAGTTTTGTTACATTCTGAATCAACTAAACTTGTAAATGAATGTGAAATTATTGGTGTAAAAATTATTTTAGGAACCTTAATGTCTCCCCAATTTAAAAAAGGTATGCAAATATGTTTATTGTGTAATAATTTAAGAATTTTTTAATTAAGCTAACTAATTAATTATAATAAATGGCTAGATACTCTTATAAATTAAGCTATATCTTCTAGATTTATTAAGAGAATGATATGAATGAATGTTTACATTTAAAATTTCCGTATAAAAACAATTATTGACAATTTTAAGGTTGAGACATTTTTCAAGCTCTTTATTGTATGTTTATGTAAAAGAGAAACTAAAATCACTATTTTTAAAAAATCTTTTAGCATTTATTTTATCCTCTATCACCAAATGTGAATCTATTTTAAAATGATTTCTAATCTATTCTAATTTGTAAAATAATTTTTTATCAATAAAATGATACAATTTTTTACAATTTTTTATCAATAAAATGATAACCTTTTAATAAATTACGAATGAAACAATTGTTTTGGTAAAGTTTGGGTCAATGTTTCGATAAGTATTTTAGCAAGTTAGAGATGGTCTTGGTGTTATACATTTAAAATTTTTAGAACTCTTTAATTACAATTTTTGTTATATTTTTAGCTTTAATGTATACTTGAATGTATATTGTGCTTAGAAAAATTAAATAAATTTCGAGTTATTGAAAGGAAATAAAGTAATTTTATCTCTTTAAACTTTTAAATAAAGAAATTTGTTTAATGGAAAATATTTTCAGGTTTCCTGATCCCAAACCACCTCGATGGTATTTCAAGGATTTTTATAGCTCTTTCATTTTGGTTTTTTGTATGTTATGTGGAGATTGGAAGCAGCCTATGGTTAACACAGTGCTGTTCACATCAAATGCTAGTGATCTCTTAATGTTAATATTTGTTTTGATTGGAAATTTTGTGGTTAGTAACTGTGCTTCCTACTTTATTTTAATTATTTTTATCGAAAGAATTACTATGTGTATGAAAAAAAATTCTTCTTTTTTGGAGTAAATATTTAAGTACAGTACAGAACCCGTTATCCGGAAATCAGGAAACCGGAAAACCAAAATACCGGAACGAAATTCAATACATTTTCCCGCTATTTAAAAAAAACTTTTTTTTTTCCTCATAAGATTTTAGGATTTTTCTTTCTTTTTTGAAAGATGTTTACCTTACCATCATTTTGGAAATAATCAATAGTGTATTACTTCATCGTTTTTTCTTTTTAAGATTATTTCGAAAAAAATTTTTTTTTAGTTGGGTCTAACAATAAAAAAAACGGCTTTTGGTAGTGATTCAGAAAACCGGAAAAATCAGTTATCCGGAATAGCGATGGTCCCGATCGTTCCGGATAATTGGTTCCCTACTGTATTATATTTAAATAAAAAATTCTTCCATTTAGAGTAGAAAAATAGTTTTAAGTTAATGGTTTATATTATTCAGGGCATCCCTGGGTCTGGGAGAACAGGGAAAACCTGGAATTGTTAGAGAATTTTATTTTGTCTCTCAAAAGGAGGGAATAGTCAGGGAAAATTAAAATTTTTTACAAAAACCTGGAAAATTCCTATATCATACCTGGAAAATAACCAGTCTCAGAATCGTCAGTAACACCAATCAGTTATGGATATTAAAGTTTAATAATTCTAGCATCTATTGCAAATATTTGTTGCAAAAATGTCACATTTTAGTGACACTTATATGTTTTCATCCTTATTTGATATTTTTTTTCTCACAAAATATTATATTTGACATTAGAAATAAAAATCAAAGTTTAAAAAAAATAAAATTGTGTGGTATATGTAAAATAAGGTCTGATTCATTGAAATTTTCTTGATATACCTGGAAAAGTCAGGAAATCATTTTTTGAAATTTAGTGAAAACCCTTTTAATGTGTTTGAAATTTTTGATGAGATATGTTATTCTTCAACTATTCTTTTTATGTATGGAATTATGCATTTGAGGTGTGTAAGTTCAACTATATTTCTGTAAAGCACGAGGAATCATAAATGATAAATTATTTAATAAAGCTTAAGTAAATTACATAAACCTAAAATCATTTTATAAACATACAAATTACAGCTTGTACATAATTATATTAGGCAGCTATTGAAGCTCAAAATACTGTACTAGTTATGGAGAAAAGAAGTGCTAGTTTGGTAGAAAAGAAGTGCCAACTAAGTTGTAAAGAAGTGCTCAGCTTCTGAGAACGATGAAATATTGAACTAATTTGCATAGTTGCTATAAGTTTTTCAAGTACTCTGGGTCCTTAAATGGCTTAGAAGGCAGAATTTGTTAATTGGAGGCAATCTGTACTTGTGGCAACTGTCAAGGTTTTTGGGTGGATGCTGGAATTTATTATGCTTCTGGTTGGAACCACTGCATAATTAAAAGTAAGGAAAAAACAATTTATGTGATGATGAGAGAAATACAAAAATTGCAGTAAACTATTTTATGAGGCCTGTGATAAAACATTTTATGAAAGTGGAATTGAAGCTTTACCAGAATGCTGACTAAATGCACTGAATTAAATGGGAATTTTTTAGAATAATAATAAAACCTTTTTTTCCCTCTAGAATATAGTTTTTGCATTGAGACACAATATTTATTTTCCCCTCTTTTGCTAATATTTATGAAGTATTTGCATATTTAGCATTTTGTAGTATTGCCATTAAAAATTACAAAGACAAATTTAGTTATTTTTTTGGACATGAAGTTCATTTGCATTGCATCAAATTAAATTTATCATTTTTAGTCAACTGCATTACAAAGAGACTATCTACCTATGTCAACTACATCTTGCTAAGATTAAACTAATCTCGAGTAGTTGATATGTTTACCCCAAACCATCATTTCTCCTACAAAGTGTATTGAAAAAAACATTGTATTTCTCATTAGTATTAAAACTTCCTATAAACTTGATTTTTTAAAAATAGTTTTAGGAAAGATACATATAATTTAAAGTACAGAAAATCTTAAAGAAAGCTTTAAAATGTCACCTACCTAAAGTTTGTTACTGCTGTAGTATTTGTTACATGGTTATTTTTAAAACGTTTCTGTATGTTTGAAATATTTTTTAAAATAATTATTTTGCTGATAAGGAAATGTATAATTTGTTTGCTTAGTCATTAATTTTATTAATAAAGTTTTATTTGCATTGCTTGTTTATTCATTTTAATAAATCAACGGTCTGAACGAATATTAGAGATGAAAGTCTGACCATTAACAAATATAATTTATAAAATCATTTTCAAAACATACAATAATAATTAGCTGTTTGAGGCTGAGCTTTTTTATAAATTTTTTTTTTCTAAACTATAAAAATATTTTTTTAAAAAATACTTAGAAAACATGCTGAATACTTATAATTTTCTGATTTCAGATTATAAATCTTTTTCTTGGGATTGTTTTCTACACTTTCTTTTACAAAACTTTGCCTAGAAGTTCTTTATCAAAGGATAGACTGCAAGCTGCAATCCAAGTTATTTTAAATAGGCAAAGCAATCCATTAGAAGGGATGGTAAGTTTCTTGTGAAAATATTTTCTGTTTGCTTTGTTATATTTAAAAGTAAGTTATAACTAATTATTTCATAAATAAGCTTTTGTTTAATCCTTTTTATAGTAGTATCTTTTTATGCTTATTGATTTTAATGAATTTTTAGACAATATAAAACTATAAATTTTTTATTAGTGTTAAAAATTTTTCTCATAAAACTTAAATGCAAGAAAAAAAACTAAAATATTGTATTCTTATGAATTTTTTGAATTATTTGTGATTGCTTTAGAAATTAACGATCATTTCATTGTTTTAGACAAATGGTAAAGACTCAACCAGTAGACGAGATACAACTGAAAGTATTGATAGTGAACCAGTATCAGATTCAAGGGATAACCTTACCCAATCAACTAAGAAAAGTAATCACAGCTTAACATTTTTCATTTTTTATCAATGAATTTCCCTGAAGATTCTTAAGACGTTTACAATTTATTGTTACTATTTCGTTATTTTTGTTTGTGTTGTTTAGCTGGTATAATTAAATTGCAGTTTTCAATTATAAAATATTTTTCCAATTTTTTTTATGAATTATTTTTTGCTTTTTGCTTAATTTATTTGTTTATCTTGTTCATTTTCTCCTTGTTCCTATTTTTGCTCTTAAAAAGGAAGGATATTATAGTCTTCTCACTTTCATCTGTCTTTTCTTTTTAAGATATAATATTTTATTTATATCAATAAAGTTTAAGAATTGTCAATTATTATGGGGGCAGAAAACATTGAAAATGATTATACATCAAAACAAAAGTTCTTTTTTTTTTTCACTTTATTTTTTGACATTTCGTTTATTTTTTATTTTTATTTACAAATTATTTCTATTTTGATTAACATCTATTATTTTAAATTTTGATACTTAAAAAAATATTTTGATTCAGATAAAACCGAAATTTTTTATAAATTTTAAACTTCTTTATAATTTCTTAATTTTCCATAGTAATAGTATTTGGTTACAGAGCAATGTGAAATTAGGAAAAGAAGTCAATAAGATTTTAATTGTCCATTTAATTCTTTTATAATGTTCCAATATTTTATTAAAAAATAAAAACCGAAAACTTATTTTTTATTAAACAAGAATATTTTTAGGCTTCAATACTAAATGTTTTGTGACTACTAAGTAAGCTTTATATATTGTTATCTTAATTTTATCTTATTTTATATATATTCTCTCATTTAGTAAATTTAAATAAAAAATTGTACTTCAAATATAGAAAGTTTTTCAGAGTTTGCTTTCTTAAGTTAAAAACTGGTTGCACTAATCCAGGATGTTCTAGTGACTTTTCTTCATTTTGATTTCTTCATTAGATTTAGTTTTCACAACTAAATCACTGTGTCAATCACTGATCAACTTGTAAATCACTGATCAACTTGTGTAGAGTATTTTATGATCTGTTTTTATGGAATAGAATTAACTTATTTTATATAATATAAAAATTTAGTTTATACTATATCACTTATAATTCTTAATCTTTTTTTAGATAAAAGAAAAAATTTATACAATCAAAATGAAATGGAAATAATTGAAGATACTTCTTCTGAATATATGCCTGATTGTTGTCCATCTCTTTGCTATTTTTGTTGTTCTTTCTGTAAAGCTGATGAAAATCCTATATTGTGGCAAAAGTGGGCTGATGTGCGTTGCAAATTATATTGGTTTGTGGAAACTAAGTTTTTCAGAATAACTATTGCCTTGGTGATTGTCTTCAGTATTGTTATGTTGGTGAGTTAAAATTCTTACTTTGAATTATTATATAGTACTATATTCTGCAGACTATTATAATGTGCTACCTTTTTCTTTTATTTATAATATTTTATTGAATTTTAGTATATTTTATCAAAACTATTTGTTATTCTTAAAATCAGGATGTTTTTTATTTTAACTCTTTTAGATAATTGATCAATCCCATGGACACAAATATGTCGAAATCACTAATGCAACCAAAATAATGAATCCATGCATTCTTCTGGTGTTTTTGATTGAGATAATGTTGAAATGGATGGCGTATGGCTTACATAAGTTTTTTAGAAGTCATTTGGGTCGCTTTGAATTCTTTATTGTCATGGTAAGAGTCTTGTTGTGATGGCATAGATCTGCTTTTTAATTGATTTCTAGTTTTATTGCAATTTACAAATATTACTTTTATTTTACAGATTTATATGATTGATTTGTTGTCTATAAAGCTTTTTGATGGCCAGAAAAACATATTCAAAGCACTAAAAGCTTTTCGTCTTCTAAGCATCACTTCTTTAATGAAGTCATATCAAGAAACTGTTGTAAGATTCTTTTTTTGATAACATTTTAGACAGATAAAATTACATCTTGGTTTTATTTTTAAATGCAAGCTTAGTAATTAAATTCTAATTGTCAAATACAAATTATTTTTTAACTACTAAATAAAATTTTAAGAAAGAGGCTTAGCACCATTGTTCTTTAAGTTAATAAATAATTCAAGCAAAATAATAATTTAAAATATATTCATAAATGAAATATTTTAGCATGTATTCTAAGCAAAAATATTTTAAAAATAAATTATTTATCTTATTCAAGTTTATTTAATTATTTTTAAATTCGTTATTATGAATTTTTAATAAAGCTAAAATGTGCTTTAAGCTAATTTAGACAGTAGATGAAGGTTGAACATTTTTCTTCAAACTGAATGAAGCTTAAGAAAATTTTTCCAGCAACTTAATGTTATGGTAAAGTTCTGCATATGTGAATGGAACATTAACATAGGGGAAATAAACAAATATGTGAGGATAAATTTTTTGAACAGAATTGCATGAAAATCAATGCTTTTAACTGTTCCAAATATTATTTATGTTCATTTTAGAATATAAAAAACAAAATTATGAAATCCAGATTAAATAAAGAATAAAAAATATTTCTTAAATATCTTTTGAATAAAATTTGTCAATAATTTAAAAAAATATCATATGTTGAAAATAGTTTTTATTAAATTTGTGTTCTTCCTAGCACTCATCAGGTTCTGTTAATCAACAGGTTATGCTAACTAATCATTATTTAGTTATAATTAATTAATATTAATATCAATAATAAAAATAATTCTAATTATAGAAAAAGAATTCCAATTATATTAATATAATTCTAAAAATATTGAAATAATTCTGAAAATATTATTCTAAAATAAATTTATACAATAATTAATAATTTAGTTTGTTTTAGTGTATTGTTTAAATTAAATACTATTTGTAGCAATTCTATTTGATCAAAATTGGGCTTCTATGCACACACTTTCCAATGTGTTGGGAATACTGCAAGTTCAATCTGTTGTGAATAAAATCAAAAGAAAATAAATATAATTAATAACATTTAGCAGTAGAATTATTTCAACAGAATAGAATACTATAATAGGTCCACATAAATGTCACTGACCATCACTTATTTTCATTCACCATGTGACTTCTTTACCATGTTTAAAGATCTATATTCAGAGCCTGAGTTTTTTTAAAACTTAACTGCTGTGGATGGTTGACACTCATTTATCTAAATATATAATATTTTAATTTATATATTAAAACTAATATATTATATATATTATAACTAAATATATTATAACTAAATATCATCAAGCTTATCAGAATCTAAAAAAAATAACTATTTTGTACATTAAATCAGATTTAAGCTAGTTAAACAAAATTCAAATTGTAATTTAAATGTATTTCAGGATAATTATTTCTTAATGACATTTTGAGAAATAAAAATTATGTTAATTCAAGTAACAAATACTATAGGTAAGAACATTAAATTATTTATGTTACAAGTATTTCTTTACAAATAAACTTTTGTTTTCGCGAAAGATTTCCATCTAAGACATTTTTACTATTTTTATTAAACATAAATTCTTTATTTTTCACTCCTTAACTACAATTGTATGATTTGATTATTGTTGGTCTCATGATTTGTTTATTGATGCATTATGTTTGATTTTTTTTATTAAGTTAGTTTAAATCAATTTTTAGACTAAGCAAATTTGCTGAAGTAATTGAAAAACATTTTAAGTACTGAAATAAAAAAAGAGAACTTTATAATTTCTCCAATGCACTAAAATCAGTTTTAGAAATCTCTCAAAATTGGAGGGTTTTTTTAGTTTAAATTCAAAACTCCATGACCAAACATTTATTGCAATCTCCATTTATAATTGATTTCATTTTTTCTATCTATAATTTTATTAAATGATATTGTGAGTTTATTTGTTAATGTGTAGGGGTTAGAACCTTTCTAGCCAAAGAAAAAAAGCATATTTTGAAAAAAAAAAAATTCTTAGTGAGACAATGTAATAAGTTAAAATTCTATAAAAGTCATTTTGATCTGGTCAACAGTAAAAATTAATTTTTGGAAAGTAATTTGCTGGCTACACAGCTTTTTTCAAGGGAAGTTTTCTTTTTGAAAAATATATGACTGGAACTGTAGCACATGCAGTTTTTTAAATTGATTTGCAGTTTTTAATTTGTGAAAAATTTCTCGCTATTATAATATAAGTACTAGGGTTTTTGTTGATATCCAAATTTTTACAAGAGAGGCGCATTTAAAAAACAATTTTTTTTCCACAAAACCACCAGAAAATTGTTTATAAAAAATAACTATGCAATAAAATGCAAAATTAAATGCACCTCTATAAAGAGGGCAATTTTAAATATATTGTTTAAAGTTCTAGTTAAGAATCTGGCTGGCTTGGAAAATGTAACTTTGAGAAATGCTTTTTAAGTTTTTTGGATGCACACAGTGTTGTATAAGGAGCTACTCCAGAAATAAAGTTTTTAGATATTTTTTGTACATAAATTTTAAGGTTTTAAAAAATCTTTTGTGAATAAAAAAAAAATCAAAATTCTAGGGTGGCTTTAACTTTTTAATATGTTTCTTTTATCTGCTCAATTCTAATAGTAATTAGATAGGGGCAATTGTGAAATACAATTTGCACAATTATGTTGATTGATTGTAGTTTAAGAATATTTTTATTAAGATTATACTTACTAAAAACAAGCACTTTTTTTTACAGCCACTGCCAATGAAACACAATAGTTGTGTCTCTGGTAGTGAAACTGCATCCTATGAAAGTCTTTTACACTTACAAAAATTTGAATGTAATCGTTTTCTTGGAAAACACTGTCGTTATCGTCCCACTGGCTCAGGAGGTACAGTATTTTTTTTTATTGTGATGTTGTTAATAAATATTTCTTTAAGATAGAGCTATAATTTATAAATAAATTGTCCTCAACAAAGATTTTTATATCAATACTTTTTTTGTTTTGTTTAGAGATATTTCAGATAGATTGGAATGTTACAGAAATTCAGTCATCTGTTCTCACTGACAGTAAGATGAGAAGGATGGAACTTACTCAGAATGTTGAGTATAGAGTAAAGAGCCCAACAATCGAAGCTAAAGATTGTTTGCCTTTGTCTTGCTATCAACTATTTCCAGCATGCGAACGCGAATGCAGTTTCTCCAATTATTGCAAATCTGCTAGAATGAAATGCTTGCATTTAGTAAGGAATAGGTTCTTCTTCGCTGCCGTTTTGATTGTTATTCTGCTTAGCTGTGTACAACTGGTAATTATAACACTCTTTAGTTACATTATTTTAAAATTAAGCTGTTCTTCTCTAGCATAAAAATTTAGAACTTAATCACATTTTGCCTAAGAAATAAGTTTTCAGACTTTGTATAACTTTCAAACAATTACTGTGAAATTTGTTTGTTTCTAAAAACCGTTCCTTTGTTTCCTTGGAAAATAAAAGCTTAAAATTTTAAAATAAAAATTGACTTTTAAATTGTAGTCAATTTGCAATAATTTGTGTTTGATAAGACCGATGAAAAGTTTTGATATGACAGAAGTTTCACCTACTGTTAATTTCAGCTTTTCACTTTAAAATAATAATTCATAAATTTATATTGGATTTATACAATTTTTGTCATCAAAGGCTATCTCTTCTTCCTCTTAATATCTTTGAAACTGTATTCTGTGGAATTTTATCTTCTTCATGGTTGCATTTCTATTCATATCATTTATAAGATAAACTTAGCTTTCAAGTTAAGAAATTTTTACTTCAACTTAATCAAAATAAAGACTCCCTTCCTCAAAAAATCCATAGCTGCCAATTCAGAAATCCTAGTTTCTCAGAATATTTAAAGTCATAGCCAAATTACAATTTAATGTAAACTTATTTTGTTTGGTTTTGCCCTCATTTAAAAACTTTATGCACTAATAGGTTTTATATATATATGTATTTAAGTTGCTTGTGTTGTGGGATGGGTCATTCTAAATTAAAATTATTAAATAGTTTAATATTAAATCATGAAATTTGCCACCACTCTAAATATTTGAATAAAAATGCTCTAATTAATCAGAAAAAGTTGGCAAGCATAAAAAGTTCATAGTCAAATGATAGGAACACAAAGCTCATCTAAACTATGCACTATTTGAAATGAATATTGAATTCCTGCTGATTATTATGTAAAATGACCTCTTGTATCTTAATATGAGCTTTGATTCTCCCCACCACCCATTGTAACAACTGTTTATGTTTTAGTTTTCAGAAAATGGTAACTTTTTGTAACAGTAACATGTTAAGGAGTTTTTCATCTTTTTAGTTCCTCATAAGATGTTAAATGGTAAAAATAATCTTTCCTTCTTTTAAAAAATAAAAAAAAATAATGGCCATAAATTATTGAAAAGTAATAAATATGGAGTAGGGGACATTTCCATAAAATGCTGGGTGATGAGAAAACATTTACATAATAGTTCAGGAGGTCATTTTAGGTAAGAATCAGCAGGAATAGTCTCAGTGCTCAAAAAGTTGTATTTTTTAAAACTGTTATTTTTTTGCAGTTTAGTGCAATTAACATGAAATTAATAGTAACAGAATAGAGGCCTTGTAAAAAAGGGAGTTATGGTATTATTCACGTTATTGCAAATTAACTATAATTAACTGCATAATATTAACTAAATTAACTCCTGTTTAACTTTAAAGTATTGTTTTTATATTGCAAATTATGCGCAAGACACATTTTTAAATATTTTTTTTAAAATCAAGATTAGCTTGTGTGAAAGTTAAAAGCTAACGTTTAATCACTTGATATGAAGAAAATGTCAATTCAGACTTTTTTCTATTCTTTAGGGAACAATAACTTGATATCTATGTCTAAATGTGACTTATATATTTTTTTAGTTTGTCGAGCTGAATTTTTCCTCTGAAAAGTTGCCAATTATCAAGCAAATATCCACGTATGCAGACAGAACTTTTACTCTTATTTTTCTGCTTGAAATGGCTTTAAAAATGTTTGCTTATGGAATCGCATCTTACTGGAAAAGTGTTACAGGTTTTTTAGAAGGCTGGACAACTTTGGTAAGAAAATAATTGGATATATTAGAAAATAATTTCATTACAATCTAGAATTGTACACCATGATTATTATTAAATCATTTCAATAAGGATAAAAAAATTTAAAAGTTCTTGATCTAAAATAAATTCTTAGTTGTTAGAAAAAGTAGACCAGACTACCCTTTATTTTTTATGACATTTTTCCTTACTACATTATTAGAATGTTCTCATTAATATCAAAATTTTGCATAGTGATTAAGATGATGGTCAATACCACATTTTCCCTTTATTTACAATAAGTTGTATTTCAATTTATAATGTCATTTGAAAAGTTACGAGATGTTTCAAAAAAGACCAGCAATTCAATTAAAGAAAAAATGAGAGATTTTAGAAGTGTATGACTTGCTACATTCTGCTTAAACCAAATTAGCTTAGATTGTACATGTGGAAAGATCCTAACGATCTAAAACCCAGCTCTGTATAATTTCTATCAATACTATTTGTTAGAAATTAAAATGAAAAAAGGGGTATTTAATGAAATATTTGATATCGATCGAATATTTCATTAAATATCGATTCGAAAATATAGATTTTTTTAAATCAAGGAAAATTTAAAGGTATAATTTGGCAATAAATTAAATTCTCATAGTTTCTTAATAATAGTTGTTCTATATTTTATTCAAAAATCCTATAAAGCATGATAAAGCTTGATTGGAAAATATTATGCGGTAGTATAAAAAAATGCTATTGTTCAACAGTAAAATCTGTAAATATATAGAAAGCTGATGAGGATAATGTGTCTTGAAATTTATTTTAAAAATCCTTTATTGAGATTTGTGACTTTAAATTCTGTAATAGAGTACAGCCTGTCTTTAACAATAAATCTACATATAGCAATAATAGCCTTAGGTACTGAATGAATTTTTTTGCTGCATTTTTTACCAGTCTCTATCAATAATAATTTTTCTGGTGAACATGTTTATAACTGTAACAGTTTTACCAAACTTTATTTTGGTGAAACAAATATTGTACTGGGAAATTTCATCTCTTGGTCCATTAAGGAAGAGAACCAAAGATCCTATTAAGAAATGATAAAATGGAGCTTTTACCACTGATGGACAGTCAACATCATATCGGTTCTTTGTAAAAAAATGTGAAGAATGTGTAGGTTTGAACTTTACTTATTCATCTGTTTTTTTGTGCCACTTGCTGAACTTTGATCTCATTTTTTATAATGTTCATTTTTTGTGCATTGATGTAAGACTAGAACAAATCAACGCTGGCAAAATTGTATACAATTTCTCAATCAATGATAGCTAAATGCTTAAAGAAAAGAAAAGAAATATTGCTGACGCTGTTGAAATTTGTGAAATTAGCAAAAAACATTAATACTCTAAAAGTGCCATTAATGGTGATATTTACAAAGCTATCTTAAAATAATGTGAAAAACTAAGAGCATAAAATGTGCCTAGTAATGAACTAACGATTTTTCAAAAATAAAATCAAGGAAATAATTATTGTAAGTAAATAATTAATTTGTAAAAAAGATATCAAAAGACACATTTAAAATATGTATGCTGGATGTAAATATGGGACATGCACATTATGTTCATTCATGTATTATGCTGGTACACATTAAAAGTCCGTAAAAGTTTTATAAATGTTTAAACTCTTTGTAACAATAATCTGTGTATAAAAGCTCTTTTTCCAAATTCCCACTGTATTGTTTTAAAAAGATTTCACCGCATTAAAAATTCATGGTGAAGTTTTAGATGATTCGAATTTTTCATACTCATAATATGCATATGCATTATCCTGCTATGATATCTTGTTTTGATTAATGTTGTAGATTATATTTGCTTATTTTCTTTTCAGTTTTTTGTTTGCACAAAGGCTGTATGATTTTATTTCATAATTATTTGCTTGCATGCATTATTGCTGACTAGATTCAAATCAATAGCTGAATGGTAATTTTAAAAATACTTATATTTGCTTTAGTGTTTTAAGTGTTTCAATGCTGTTTTTCTGTAAAATCACATTATTCTATATGCATAATTGTAAATGTTTTGTTAGTAGCCTATTTTTCAGTTCTTCTGTTAAAAAAGTTATTTGCTAATATTTCACAACTTTTTTTGTTTTCAAATCAAATATTGTTAATCCTAAAAATCAAATAAAAGGCTGGTAACAGATGCTGTATTAACGGACTATAATGTTTTGTACAGGTTTTGTGCTTCTTAGTAAAATATTATTAACGTGTGCTGTACATTTTATTTATAATTGCTTATTTTGAAACTGATTGTTCCCAGAAAAAAAAAACTATTTGTAATTTACTGCAGTCTAATTTCAATTTAAATTATTTGCTTTTCTCTGAAACAATCATGAGTTATTATTAAGTAGAATGATAGCAGCTGTAAAGTTATATTAATCCTAAGCCAAGGTTATTTATGGAGACGAAGTCTATCGATGAGCATGTTTAGAGATATAGTTATTATTTTAAAGTTTTTGAACCTTTGCATTTTATTTTACAGTAACATTTTTAATATCTAGCTGCAGGTATTCTGAAATTCTCTATTAAACTAAATTTAATCTTAAGAGATTTATGTGATTCTTTTTTTTCTTATTTTATTTTTGCCTCAATTGTTTATTAACCCATGTGATTTTGAAATTTTTGATTACGTAATTAAAGTTTTAATATGACACTCTATAAAGAATTCTGGTGTTTATGCCAATCTACATTCAATCCAATCTAAAGCAAATCATTCTCTCTTGATCATTAATTTTGTAGTTACCTCCAAGCCTTCTTGCAAATTTCAAAAGTATTGCATCCTAAATAGTTGTGCTAGAGGTAAACCTTTTGAGCTCAGAAAATAATAATCAAACTATGCTAGCTGAAGCTTTAATGTAAACTAATATTAAAGCAATCTCTGTTATTAAAAAAATAATTTTTTCATAAATTGGACAGGGAAAGAATGATATCAATCGTGAATGAGATCAACCGAGCATAATAATATTAATATAAAACCTGACTTACGTGATTGTTTATAAGTGTGCTAAATTATATTTTTATCAAAAACTCTTAACTATCTAAAGTTTTTATTATTAGAAATATATTGCGTTTAGGAATTAAGGTCTTAATTTATGAAACAATATTATTATCATATCTGAGAATTGATCTGAGAATAGATAGATATCTGAGCTTGTACGTATTATTTTTCTAGACTTTTAATCTTTTTGTCTTATACTTTTATTCTTATTCTTTTCTATACTTATCTACACACTTCTTTATCGATACTTTTTAGTAGAGCTTTACTAGTTTGTTTTAAAATTTGCTTTTTTGCTTTTTGCAAATGCTACTTGCTTTTTCTATTTGTAGCATGATCATGCTGGGTATTTAAGTGTTAAACCTTTATTCATTTTTTAAATTTTAATGTTGGCACTCATTTTACTGTCTTCACATATTATTTATTATTTGAACCTGAATTGTAATGCGGCACATTTTGCTTTCTTTAAACTACTGCAGAAATACAGTAGTAATCAATTATTATTTTTTGAAAAATATTTAGTTAGAGATAGGTTGAACAAAATAAAATTAATTGAAAATATAAACTATCTTTTATAAAAATAGTTTACACAGGGCTAAGCGAATATTATATTTTAATAATATTCTTTTTGTATTACAGAATGCCATTTCATATCTTATTCTACATGAGTTAAGGATCAAAACATACTTTGCATTAAAGTTGTGTAGAGTGTTTCGTTTATTAGTTTTTCACAAGCTACTAGGATTCAATAAGCAATCCAAAGTAAGAAGAATTTCTATCACACTCTAAAGTATTATAAAATTGGTTTAAAGAGTTGCTATAGCATATTTTGAAATGTGTAATTTATCTTTGTGATTGTTTGTTTATTTAGTTTTGTAAATGCTCATGATAAATATCTATAATAATGAAATACAGAGTTTGTGCCTCTCGCTTATATTGGCGTAATAAAATAAGAATCGTCCAGAATCGAACTCCTTAATTGTTGCTTGATTTATTAATTGTTCTAAAATATCAAATATTTAAAAGATACCAGTTTCAGATTGATGGGTACCAAAAGAGAAAAAAAATTTCCAGCCATTTTTCTCCAAATCTATTGTAAAGCGTTTATGTTGTTTTTTAAATTGATGTCAGAGTTAACTTCAAGCATTATTCCAAATTATACTGAATATAGTTAATGCTTATTTTGATGGGATGAACTTTTAAAAACTGGTTTTGCTTAATCTAATAATGTTAAATCACTGGGAAAAACAACAAATAAAAATAAATAAAAAGCATTGTAATTATTTTAGCTTTCAGTTTGAGATTATTTAAGTTTTTTTTACCCTTACAAAGAATGTGTATTTAGCTAGTTTATATATAATTACATGGCAAAGTCTCAATAATTCGAGTTTTGATTGTTCAGATTTTTTATAATTTTAAGTTATTGGAAAAATTCAAATTTTCATCAGACAGCCAACACATACACAATACATGAAAGAATTATTGTGTAAAGTTTTTATTTCTGTTGAACTGGTCTTATGTGCAACTAGTCCTAACTGGTTCTGTATTTGAGACTAACTGAAGAGAAATTCACAGCATTGATGAAGATAATTTTCCTTTGTTTAATTGTTTAATTAAGAAATTCTTGGGGAGCAAGAACTTCAAGATAATTGTGAGAGAGAAAATAATAAATAGTGATAAAATATTGGAGTTTATAGATTCTGCTATAGTAGAAAGAATAGAAAGCATAGTAGATAAAAGAAGTAAATGAAAATAAATAAAAAAAGTTATTAATTTTTTTAATAAAATACAAAATTAACAATATTAAAAGCATTTTGTAAATTTCTTTCTGTTTCCCTAACTAAGTTTAAAATAAAGGCTTAACTAATTATTATACAGACAACACTATTATAAGCATCATTTAGAGAGAAAACATACTTTTTAAATATAAAGATAATGCATACTTTTTATATTATACATTCATTTGCAATATTATTCATTATGCCTTTGATGCAGAATTTTTATTAAACATATTTTTCCTACCTCTTTTTTATTATTTTGTATTAATTTAGGGTCAAAATAGGTGAAAAATATTATATTTTTGCATTTTATTAATTTATGAAGTGCAGCAGGAAACACCAGTGCTTCTTTTTGCGTTAAAGGCAAAATATTCCAAACTTGGCTACTTCCAAACAATAGTTTTTCATATTTGTACTTATTTTCAGTTATTTAGATCTAAGAAAAACAGTTATTCATCATTGAAATTTCTTTAATTTACAAAATCAGTAATTAAAAAGTTTTTGAATATGTATGAAAAAACGTACTTTAAACTACTTTTTTCGTATTTTATATTTTAGCACAAATATAAATCTGATAATCGAATGGATTTTTTTTAATTATCAGACTGTATTTCATAATTAAAAAATACCAAAATATAATTTTGTTTTTAATTAGAGCCTCAGAAAAAAAGGTCACTGGTGTCCCATCTGCCATCAAAAGGTCAAATAAAGATTAAGAATTTTTTTTTGTAAATATGTAACTATAATCTATATATTTTAAAGGATGGTTCAATTAAATATGATCTTTGTGCATATGTTTGTACATACACATGTTTTGGCTTCTAGGATAAAGTTTAGTCTCAGTTTAATGCTTTATTTGAGAAATGAATTTCGATCTATTCCAGTTGTGCTGACTTTTAAAATTTTGCAGGGAATTTTGTGGTCATTAAATCAAGCCTTTGCCTCACACATCATTGCTTTTCTCTTTGTGTTTTATTTGTGGATCGCTTTTGGAGTTATTGGAGTTGCCATGTTCAAAGGCAAATTGCATTATTGTGTTGATGCAAATAACGAAGTCATGGAATTCGCTGCCTCTGCCTGTATTGCCAATAATGGAACTTTAAAAAATTCTCAAGTAAATTTTGATACAATTCAGAATGCCTTCATTGCCTTACTTCAAGTGGTATGTTGCTATTTTCTTTATGTTAATTACATACTATGATGGTTTATTGAAATCAATTTAGTAATTACTGGAAATACTCTTTCAATTTAGCAAAAAAATAGTAATTTAATTATAAGTTTAAACTAAGAATTCATGTGCATTAGTTCTACTTACCTGGGCAATTCCACGGAAGTGTCAACTTTTAAGTGAAATTTTCATTTTTATGAATTGCATATTTTAATTTTAAAAATATGTTCAAAAATAGCCAAAGTCTACATATTGCCGTTTCATTTTTGATAATTTTAAATTTTTTGAATCTGGCAGCATTCTAAAGTAATCACATGGCTGACAAGTGAATTGTTCACATTTGTGCTCAAATTGTTTTCTTGAAAAATACTTATAAAATAAAAGAAATGTATCTTTCTTTTGCAATATTTTGATAAAAATATGCATATAGAACAAAATTTAAACATTTTAAGTTTAATATATAAAATAAAAGTAACTTCTTTTACGTCATTCCGTCACATGTCTTAATAATGCATAAATTTCCTGAGAACGAAGATAAGATGTGACATTGGCAAGTTAGATATAAAACCTCTTCAGAGACAACCTAATTTTCAAACTGTTGAAATTTTTACTAATTCTTACATAAATATTAATCCTGTTTATCTGTTACATTCTGTTTATCATTTACATATTAATAAAACATTTTTTAAATGAAGGCTTTCTTCTACTAAACTTTTTGTCATTCCGTCACGGTCATTCCGTCACAGCAAATAGATGTTAATAACTGCTAGCCAACCTGAGGTTAATTTTCCAAATTCACATTTTACATTGCTTACACATTATACTAAAAGTATAAAATAGTTCAGAAAAATAATAGCTGCAAAATTCGCAGAAACTACCAGTTCTAAGCGGCATGCCAAAAGCTTGGTTGCCAAAATGTCATTCCGTCACGCAAATAAAAAGTTCGTAAAATTAAAAGTAAAAAAGATAGAAAATCCTGTTTTTTTAGTTTATGAAGCGCATTATGCCAATAATAATGATATGCATGAGAAAAAAAACTTTTTATTTGAAATTAGATACATAGAAACTTCAATTAATTGTTATTTTGCAAGTCAAAATGTCATTCCGTCACAAATGGAATTGCCCACCTATCATTATCTACTAATTCATATTACTTTAGAAAACTGTTAATGCAACTATTAGTGTCATTATAGTTTCAAGTTGTTTCATTAAAAAATAAAATGTTAATTTTTTTATGATAATTATATTACATATGTTTAGTTAATTTTATCACATCAGTTATGTACTTAATAAATTAAACTTTTTTTAGGAATATTGTTTCAAATTTGCAGAATAAAAGAATTTTTGAATTCTTATGTGCCTTTTGTTCTTCTGTATTAAAAACTAGGCAATTTATGATGTACAGTTTTATGAACACACTGTAATTCTTTATCGTGTATGTAAAGTATATAAAAAAATAATGATTTTGGTTTTTAATTTGAGTATTAAAATATTTTAAACCTTTATTCTGAAATAAAGTAATCTGAAAATGATATAAAACCAGAAGTCTTCAACTATAATACTTAATACATCTCATAAATAAAAAAAAGTAAGTAATATTTTCTGAAACAAATATAAAAATTATGTTATATAATCATATGTGATGTAATTTTGATCTATGAAATTTGTTAAATTTTTTTTTGTATTGGAATAAAAGAATTTTTAAAATGATATAAAATCAGACAACTTATAATATACAGGAAGTTGTCATTCGACTTTTTTTTCTTCAAGTTCTGGTCATAGTTTTATTTAATTTTTTGAACGACAAGAATTGGTAGTTTCAAGAGTGTAATTTAAAACTTCTTTTTCTGGACATGAAGTCTAAGAATCAACAACTATCAAAATCCTTAATGAGAATATTAGATTTTCTATCCAGTCGCAATTTTTCCAAGCAGTGATTGAAAATTTCATCAAATGTGCCTCAAAAATTGAGGAAGCCATTTCTAACATATCTATATATGATAAAATAAAAATTAATAAATCCATCATAAATAAAAATATTTTATTTAAAAGTTAAGTTTTTTGTTCTTATTGGAATACTCTGGATACCAACATTTAAATACAAATTGTAAGTAAGAAAACCTTCATTAAAATATGCTAAAAATTGATATTTTTTTTTTCATTTCAGTTCCTGTTTTTTTTTTTCAGAGTGTAATCAATGTCATTCATTATAGTTTGGTTATATTATTTTTTATACAAGATTAGTTAAACCATCTTAAAACGACTTAAATAGTTTATAAAATTTTTGCTAAATTTTGATAATAATGATAATGATAAATTCCTTATTATTAATAAATGATATATTAATAATAAGGAAAACTTACAAGAGAAAATATTATAGTTTTTTTTATTATTCCTAATGAAACAACATTTTTCAATAGAAATGATAAATCCAAGAGCATTTTCTTCAGTGAAAGTCATTTTAAAATATAATGTAAGATGAATTAAAGCATTTATAAATTAAGAAAGGAATCTTTTATGTCTAAAAGCATTAAAGTTTTAATATTAAATTCTCAAAAATAATCTTTAACTTTCATCAAATGTGTAAATGACATTCTACACTTGTTCCCTACACTCTCGCCTTTTAAACATCAACAGCATAGGATGCATATGTTTTCTTTCAGTTATTAGTGAACCTGATTTGTATGAATTCTGATCTCAAAATCAATTAATATGTTTGTTGTTTTGAGTACAATGAGCTTAGACTGTCTTAAGGAAAAGAATACTCCCGACTTAAGAATTTGGGACTATCTAATCACTAAATTCGATATTATTTTCATGTGTTTTCTGATTATACTAAGGAAAAAAATCAATAAAAGTTGAATACATATTCTTTTATTGATGATTTTTAGTACAATATTTAATCCATATTATCTATTTTGTAGGCAACTTTACAAAATTGGATGAGCTTTGTTACTGGGATAATTGATAATTCAGATTCAGTAAGTTTTTAATTTTTGAACTTTAAAGAGCATTTTTTAAAGCCTTTGAAATAAATTCATATTTTTTCTCTCTTCCAGAGCAATGAAATTAGAAATGAGATTTACACAGCCTCATTTTTTCCACTGTTTATCATGTTCAGCACTTTCCTGACTTTAAATTTATTTGCTGGAATTACTTGTTGGTTTTACAATAGTCAAAAGCAGGGTAATTAGTTACATAATTGTTTATTTTGCTACTTTTCTTGCAGACTTACTAATTTTACTATTAATATTGCTTATTTAATGTTATGGAATTTGCATAATTTATTTCTTACCATTCTTATATGAGAATTATATTTTATTTCATATTTTTATTTCCAAAATGACTTATTTTGTTTTAATATATTAAGTGGTTTTTTAAGTACTATTTGTATTTTTTCTAATAACATAGTTTAAACTATTTACCATTTACAGAAAAAGAAGATCGCTTAAATGCGAAATCTAAGTGGCTGTATGAAAAAGCTGTGAAAAAAATGGAAAGTGTCAAATTGCAAAGAGTTACTCCATCTCCGAGCGTAAGTTATTTGTCTATGATTTTTAAAAAAATATTTTTTCTTGAAAGCTAATTTCACAGCACTCTGAGAGTTGGTCTTTTCTAGCTTAACATGAATTCCACAACCCGAAAAAAATATTCTAACGATCTTTTCTCCTTTCAATTTTTGTACTTTTTCCCTTTCTTTAATTTTTTTTTAAACATTAGTTTATAATATCTTTTGATCAGCTCCATATCTATATTTAAGCAATGTAATGTAAGTTCTTGAAAGTTTATATTCTGTTTTAAATGAAATATTTTATCTTATTTGAATGATAAGTAGAAATGGAGGATAATTTTATTATTACTATCTATGTCTTTTCCTTTTTTCATAAAAAAAAATGTATTTTTTAATCTTGTACTAACCAATAATTAAATTTTTGATGTATTTTGACTTTTTATACTTTGATTGTAGATTGTGATAAAATATTTGTATATTTTCAGATACCGTTTCAAACATTTGTTTATCGCATGGTTATGAGTGATAACTTTGAAATTGCTGGATTTGTTTTCATTGGACTTCATATGCTTCTCATAGCTTTGGATATGTATGATCCTGATCCATCAGAGATGTTTGCTTTAGCTATGTTTGAACTAAATATATTTTTCATCATCATTTTCACAGTAGAGTGCATTTTGAAGCTTATTGCTTACAGGCAGTACTTTTTCTTATCATTCTGGAATATGTTTGATTTAATAGTGCTTGCTCTATGTATTTGTGGTAAGTTTTTGAAGTTTTATTTAGTTTTTTTTGTGTATATATTTCCTCCTTAAATCAGAAGAATAATTTTTAGGTCTTTTTAAATGAAGAATTAGATATTTTTTTACGAAAGATTAGGTTTTTCAAATGAGCTCTTGCAAATGCTTAGTTGAAAATATGAGGTTTAAATAGTCTTTATTTCATGATAGTCGCAGAACAATTGAAACAGGGAAAAGTATGGAGTTTTATCATTCTGGAAAAGTTAATCAAAGTTTAGGGAAAATTAATTAATTAATTTAGTTTGAAGTACATAAAAATCTGATATTTTCTTTAAAAAAAAATGTTAATTTTTATCTCTAAAAGAAAATTTAAGTATTTATCATACGATTTAAACTAAATAAATACAATACTTTATATAAGCTTAGTGTATTTTATGTTGAAGGCGGCATAATTGAAATATTATTAATTTTAGCCATCATGTACAAAAATCAAGGAAAATTGATAAAATTAGTCTGAAAAAGTCAGTGAATTGTTGCTGTGAATGTTTGTGTACTGTGTATTTACTGTTTCATTTAATTCCAGTCTGATTTCTTATTAATTTATAGGTGCATTGTATGAGAATCTTTTCTCTTCTCCAATGCTGCCGGCGATGTTACGATTAATCCGTTTCATTAAATGTCGAAGGTATTTACGGAGATACATTCGTGGAATGTTGCCATTGACCTATGCTTTATATACTTCATTTCCAGCTTTCGTAAGCGTTGTAGTGCTTCAGTTGATTTACATGTTTATTTATGCATCATTCGGTGTGCATTTGTTTAGTGGCGTCCAACAGTCTTGGGATTTCAGTGGTGAGCTGAGTTTCGAGACATTTTCAAAAGCCATGCTGCTTCTTTTCCAACTGTCAACATTGGCAGGTTGGGTGGATGTGCTCCAGTGCTTGCATGATGATGGACACTGGCCATACACGTCCATATTTTACGTTGTGTCTTACATCATAATCATGTATTATATTATCATAAAAACTCACTTTATTATTATATTAGACAATTATGAAAATGCAATGCTGGAATATGAAAATGCCCTTTTAAAAGAGGACTATGAAATGTTTGCTGAAATTTGGCAGAAATTTGACAGTAACGCCCATGGCATCATTAAGTTCTCCAACTTGCCTGATTTATTGGATGTCCTAGAAGAACCATTCCATTTCAGCAAGCCAAATCGGTTCCTCATCGCTACTTTAAATATCCCAATCTATGAAGGAGATTTGGTTTTTTATACAGATGTCATGGATGCTCTTACAAGAGATTACATGAGCCACAAAGCACATCTCATTGAGGTGAGTGACAGTGCACCAGGATTACTTGACAAAAAGGGTAAAACTCTAAAAAAGATTAGCTGTACTCTTTGGAGACAAAGACAGCATTATTGTGCCGGTGTCATTCAGAGAGCCTGGAGACTATATTCTGGCACTCTAGCAAGATCTCCAGTTTTTTACAGTGAAGTAAGGCTTGCTGATCAAGGTAAAATCGACACAGTGTTAACTGCAGATATCCGATCTGGGAGCCATGCCTCCTTGTAGAATGAACAACTGTTAAGTATTTTACGACACCCACCAAGAGAATATTGTGAATTTCACAGCTCAGAACGACAAGTGCTTCCATGTTGGTAAAGATTGATCGCTGTTTTTACTTGTCAGTGAAATAAAAATTTAAGAATAGTGTTATTCTGCATGTTACATTTAAAAAAAATTATGAAAGAAATTGCTCATCGCGAAGTCAAAAGGGAAAATTAAATATTTCATAATTATGAAATAAGTTGTTGATAAGCTCTTGTGCAGATAAATATTATGAGTAGCTGTTAAATAAAAATGTGATTATTTGCTTAATATTTAAGGAACTTACTGCATTTTTAAAATATTTGTAAAGAATATATGAAAATCTTTAACAAAGTAATTTTTAGATTAAGTAATGTACAAAGCTATTTCTCCCATTGCTAAATTATGTCCTACAACTCCTTTCAATCTTACATTTTGTGGTTTAAAATTAGATATGTTTGAACTCAAACAAAACATTCTATTTTTTTAAAAATTTTCATTAGTTAAAATGTATTGCTTGTTAAAGAAATTAATCAACTAATATCATTTGAGAATTATTCTAGTTAAATTTGACTCCTTGGTGGATTTTATTTTGTTAAATTTTCTTGAAAGATAGTTTTAATTTCTACAGTGTAGATTATAATGTTTTTTGGGGGAAAATTCGAAGACTGTAAAAGTGTTTGTTGGTTAAATGTAATAAGTATGCAAATGTGTAGATATGGTTTACTATTTTTACATACTGTATTGCCTTTTCTGCAATAAAATATTGTTATGTTTGCATTCTTTATTGCTGAAAAGAAGAAAAAAAGAGATTTTTTGATTCTGTGATATTTTTAATGCTACTGTGTTACCTTCTGGCTTTATGAAGAATTTCCTAAATTTCTTTTCCTGATTCCTAAATTTGTTGTTTTACAAGTTCGTGTTTTTGTATTTTCTTGAAAATCGGTTATTGTGAATTTGTAAAATTTTTTGTTGAATGTTATTTCTTTTTTAAGATCAGCTGTGTAAATGTAAACATTCATAAGTTTTATTTTAATTAAAAGTATGGTGTAATCAGAATTCAATGTTGAATACAGGAATTTTCAATGAATGCTTAAAAAGTATTCATTCCAATTTTATGTTTATATATTTCTCTCCAAACCATATACCCTTCTCTCCGAAATATCCCTATTTAACAATAATATTTATTTATTTTTTCATTTTGTTACTCTTTCAAAGAAAATAGAGTTAAAATATTTTGTTGTTCTTTCTGTATAGAACTTATTATTCTATTATTAAGCCTTATTTTATTCAACTACATTTGTTGGGTAAGAATTCAGTTTTAAGGATTTGTTTTCTTTTGTTTGAAAAAGTATACAGTTTTGTATTAAAGTTATTGTAATTTTTTAATTTCATAATTAAAATTTAAATCCATAAACTCATTTAATATCTATATTTGTAACAAACAGATTTATTTAGTTTTTTTAGCCATTATTTTTACTTCCAAAATTATATACAGACTTGAATTATAATAAATGATGCTGGTTGCACAGTATATCATTGATATATTAAAAAAAACTTATGATTCATGGGTAAAGAGTTCTGATGGTGTATCATATATATATATATATATATATATATATATANATATATATATATATAATATAAGGATATTTTGCTTTTTGGAATAAACTGTGTAAAATTAGGAAGCACATTTCTTATATCACCTCATTAATGTAAACTGGAATATTAATCTTTTACAACCAACACTGCTAAATAATTGCCTCTTTAAAATTATTTCCATATTTGGAGTAAAAATTGTCATTTTAAATAACTTATAACTTTTACTGTGTTCAAAATAGACCAAAAAATGTTAAAATATTATTTGCTAGCTTTAGCAAATTAGTGAATGATTTGCTGGCCAATTAGTGAATGAAACTTGGCGTATTTTCCTTGATATTTGAAATCTATCTTTTATTTTGAAAGTATTATTACTTATTTATAGAAAACCGTTTGAACTTCTTTGCCCAGATGATTGTTTCCCGTCCTTTTGGATCTTGTGATATGAATAAAATGGAGTGAGAAAAATAGCTTGATTTAATATTTTTTTATTTTTTCGTATAAAATTCTTAAAACAAACAGCTTTTGTTATAATTAATCTCCTAATATATAATTGTTCTGGGTTTGTATTTTCAAATATTTCTATTAATTGTCTTACAAATTTCTTGATTAATTCCTTTTTGCACGATTGTTAACTCTGCACATTAATGGTATAGTTTAATTAAATTTTTAAAAACATCGCTACACTTGTAGATGTACAAGTTAAAAATATGTTATGTCAATGATATTTTGTTTGTGCAAGCAAGTAATATTGCATTTCTATGGGTATGACCGACATTTTTGTCTAATAGATTAAAAAATGATATTATGCCTGGAATTATTAACTAGTACTTCTAGTTAAAGTAGTAAGCTAATTTGTGTTCCAAATCTCAAGTTAAATTGTGAAATTGTGTTTCAGTGAGAGATTTTTTGTTCACAGTGACCTAGCCTTAAATACTATAACAAGTTTAACAGAGAATTATAGCTATTTCTTAATTAGTTACGAGTTATTTTTCCAAATTTATAATGAATCTCTAGGAATTATTTGATTTTATGTAACACTGCTCAACATCCATTTTGAATCTGTTTTAAAATATAGAATTTCCCATGTTTTTACATCATTTATTTATTTTGTAGAAGTTAAAAATGCCTTCAGAACTTTTATTACCACATTAGGTTTTTAAGAAATTTAAAATTTTTTTTCTTCGTATTTGTATTTTAATGCTATGGAACAGATGAAATGAATTACTAATTAGTTCTTTTTTTTCTAAATAAAATTGATATTTAACTTTGCCTATTTATATCAATATTGGTAGATTTTAAGGAATTTTTTAGTTTTTTTAAACTTGTTTTATTGTCAAAATGTATATGCAGTTATTGAAAAACAGTGCTATAATCTGCTTATAAATACTTTCAATTAATAAAAAAAATTACATTGAAGCACTCCTGGTAATTACATTTTGGGGACAATAGTGCCAATAATGTGCACTGACCATCTTTATATTACTTATTCCTTTACATTTAGAAAATGTGACCTGATAGTGAAAATTTGATTAAATTAAGCATATACATTTACTAACCAAATGCAAAGATAAAAGTTGAATTTTGTTTAATAGTGTAATTAGTATTTTATAAAAAAAATAAAGAAAAAGGAAATTAAATTTAAAAAAAATCTTCTCAGAAAATTTTCTGGCTACATCTTATGTATTCTATTATTCTTTCATATATTTCTTTCTTTCACAATAAAACCATCGCTATATTTGTCAATACCTTTTGTCTGATATTGCCATGCGATTAACGTTTGTAATGTTTTTTAAAATTTAAATAATTTTAATTTTGCACTCTATATTGAATTGTATATACGGATTTAATTATATACAACTTATAGTGTATATTATAAATAAATCTGCAAAGATTGTTGACATTTTTGCTGTTGTGACTATTGATTTGTTAAAGTGTAATAACTATTAAATGCATGCTAATTAATAAATTATATACTATTGTAATGTAATAAAAATGCAGTTTTAGAATTACAATTTTTCAATTACATTTTCGCATGCAATTATTGTTGTACATTGTTAGTATTAATATTATAAGTTTAAAATTATGGTGAAACACTCATATTAGTTTTAATTTATAATATCAGTGAACATTCCTAGAATTTGTAAATTATGGTGACAAAGAATATTCTCATTATTTTTGATAATGAACATTCCCTGAAGTTGTAATTTATGATGCTGATGAACATTCCTGCAATTATAATTTTTATGAAATTCTTCACATCACATTTTAAATTATAGTGTAAAAGTAATATTTTAAATATTATGATAGGTAAAATGAAAAAAAGAGGTTGTTTAGCAATCACATTCACTACTTGTTCAATATTTTATTTCGGATGACTTTGAAAATTTATTGTATTGCTCACTAATAGTGGAGAAATATTAAAACGACAGTATTTTGTAATTTAGAATGATAACTTGTATTATTTTGTCTATTTATTTCTTATTGGAAATTTTTCTGCGTAGACATTAATTGTTAAAAACTGTCTTTTAATTACTTTAGAGAAAAACTTTGAAATCTTGTCATTATTTCTTCCATTTTATGAAAATTTTGTTTTCACACAAGTGTGTCAGTGCTGGTTTTTATAACTGTACTTTTCTTTCATTATATCTAAAATATAATTGCCATTAATTCATTCCTTACATTTATTATTTTATGACTGGGAGCTTTTCTAAAATGGAGCTATTTGAGGCTCTCTAAATACGACCACTTCTAAGTTTATTCAATTACAGTTAATTGGTGGGCTTTATGAATGCACAAGTTTAAATTGTTGAAGGTGATCTCCAACAGATCCATTCTATAAAAGCGCCCATTGAAATCTGTAAATATGGTTAGAATTGGAACTTGCAGCATGAATGGTTAATTGACCAGCAAACAACAATCAAGTTTTACTGTTACAAAACTCATGCTCATAGATCATCCAAATACTTTATTTTTATATATTTTTAGCAGCTGTTTTGTCTCTATTGATTTTACTCTGTACAGATTGTTTATCCTGGCTGGAATGTCTTTGTATGTTGTGCATTGTGTTGTCAAAATGAATGTACATAGTTTTTTTTTCTTTAACTTATTTCAAAGGCATTATCTAAAACACTGAGTGCTACTTTCTAAAGATTTGTTGAAGAACTAAATGTCTTTTTCAATAAATATCTTTATACTGCTCTATATAACGTTTGTTTTTGTCTGTTAATGTGATGAACATGTTCTAATAAATATATTAAACTGTGTGAAGGATTTTTTTTTTTAGTTTTGGTTATGTCTTATAAAATGTCTTGTTTTACTACAGTGCAATTGAACCATAAGAGTCATTCCATTTAAATTATTTTGATCTTTACAAACTACACGATGTATCTCTCATTTGGTGAAACAATGACGTAACTGCAAAATCAAACTAAATAGAGTAATTATCAGTTACATCATTGTTTCACCAAATGAGCGATAGATATATACTATATAATATTAAATGAGCCATATACTATTGTATATCGTTTTACTGATAATTATTCTATTAGGTTATTGTATACGAGCGATATACTGATAATTGCTCTATTTAGGTTGATTTTGCAGTTACGCGTACCAAGAGCTGACCAAATGGTTCTGCAATTCCCTCACATTGCGAGGGGGTATCGTGGCAGCACGAATTCACTTTACCAAGTAGGACCACAAATGCTCTATTGGATTAAGGTCAGGTGAATTTGGGGGCCAAGACATGACTTGAAAGTCACTGGAATGTTCCTCGACGATTAGACCCTAATGACATGGTGCATTATCCTGTTGGTAAACACCATCCCCAGCAGGAAAAACTGTTGCAATGAATGGGTGAACCTGGTCTGCAACTATGGTCAAGTAGCTTACAGACGTAAGGGATGGCTCTATGAGGATTATGGGTCCTAATGTGCCCCATGAAACATTGTTCCTGGGCGAGAAACCATGAAAACCTGGGCGAGCCCATTGTTATAGATGGTGGGTGGTCATGATGTAATGGCTCTTCGGTGTATATTTATAAATTAAGAAACACAAAATGTGCGGCACAATAATTAATAAAATTGAAGTAATTTTATTTGCTATAGATATTTAGGGAAATTGACAATTAATAATTGAAAAGTTTATAAAATACCTTGTCATATTCCGTCTTCCAAAAA